CTGGGAAGTACAAGATCAAGGTGCTAACACTGGCTATCATTAAGAATACAAAAAACAGGGCCAGGGATTTAGCTCAGTGGTTTCGCTGCCTGCTGTGCAAGTGCAAGGACCTGAGTTCGATCTCCGGTACCAAAAAAAAAAAAAAAAAGCTGCAGACCAGTATCTCTTATGAGCATCAATGCAAAAATCCTCCACAACATAACATATGAGCAAACCAAATTCAGCAGCATGTTGGAAAGATTATGCATCGTGGCCATTTGCAGAATGAATTAGAAAGTGTTCCCCCTCAGGTGTTTTTGTTCTGTTTTGTTCTGTCTTGTTTTTCAGGGCTGGGTGAAACCCAGTGGCACTCTACCACAGCTACGTCCACTGCCCTTTTGTTGCTGAGTCACGGTCTCCCCATATAGCTCAGGCTGGCCTCAAATTTGCTACATTACCCTGACTGGCCTTGAACTTGTGATCCTTCTGCCTCAACCTCCCGAGTAGCTGGGATTACAGGCTGCCAGTGCCACCACGCCCAGCTTTGTTTTTTGTGGTGGATCAAACCCAATATGACCTCATCTTGTGTGCTAGGGAAGCATTCTACTACTCAGCTACATCCCCAACCCCTCACTTAGGTTTTTTGGAAAAATTTGAGAGAAATCTGTATTATTTCTTTAAATATTTGGTAGAATTCACCAGTGAAAACACCAGGCCCATGGGCTGGGGATTTAGCTCAGTGGTTGCGTCGCCTGCCTCGAAAGTGCAAGGACCCAAATTCGATCCCCGGTACCAGAAAAAACCCCACCAAGCCCAGCAATCCTTTGTTGGAAGATTTTTTTCAGAACCTGGGAAATGAACTTGGGAACCACTAAGCTACATTCCCAGCATTTTTTTGTTTTTTAGACAGAGTCTCACTAAATTGCATAGGCTAGCCTTGAACTTCTTATATTCCTGCCTCAGCCTCCCAAGTAGCTGAGATTACAGGTGTGTGCCACTGTGCTTGACTCCTTTGTTGAGAGATTTCTGAATATTAATTCAATCTCTTTAGTAGTTATAGGTCTATTTAGATTTGTATTTCATTTTTTGTAGTGCTGGGGATGGAACCTGGGGCCTCATGCATCCCAAACAAGTACTCTACACTGAGCTACATCCCCAGCCCTAAAGTTTACCTATTATTAATTAACTTATCATTATCTAAGGTCTTAAAATTAGTTGAGGATCTGAAATAGTACAAATTTTAATTTTGTTTTTTGAGACAGGATCTTGCTCTGTAGCCCAGGCTGGCCTTGAAATCATGGGGATCCTCCTGCCTCAGCCTCCCAAATGCTAGGATTACAGGTGTGTGCACCACACCCAACCATCTTTTTTTTTTTTTTACTTTATGAAGAGCTATTTACTTTTGGTGGTTCTGATGGTCAAGGTCCTTGTGCAGGCTAGGCAAGCACTCCACCACTGAGCTATATATTCTCAGCCCAAGAACTGCTATCCTTCCCCTCTCTCTCTTTTTTTTCTGTAGTCAACAAGGTATGCTGTTGGGCACATGGTAAATACTTAATAAACATTTGCTGCTTACTATTGTGTTTCTCTTGGAATCTAGCTACTATAACACTCCACTTTTCTTTGGTTTCAGAAAACAGATGAACATCCCACTTTCAAAATTCTCCTGAGCAACATTCTACATGTTATGGATGAAGAATCCTGAGCTGGCCCATAACCTTCTTAGTTTTCTACTCCTCTCCTCTACAAGCCCCAATTTCACTTTCTCTGAAGAAACCCCAGGCTTACAGGTTTTGGAGTTTCTGCTTCCCCTAAATACATGAACGTCCCTCTATATCCAGGAATGTCTCATTTCTTTGATTCCCTGGGATAGTGTTTCTGAGCAAAAGCAAAGGAATTTCTGTGCCTGGTATCTCCCCCACCCCCGCCAAGAGAGGAAATTTCCCAAGGCTATTAAAACAGACTGAATTTGGGAGGGAAGCCTTTTTAGGGAGGGAGGGGTGTAAATAACCTCATAAGGGATATTACTGCTCTTTTGGTAGGCATTAGAGTTTGGACAGCGAGACAGGATTTGTTAAGATTAAAACTGTCACTGGGCATAGTGACGCATGGCTGTAATCCCAGCACTTGGGAGCCTGAGGCACAAGTATCATGGTGAGTTCGAGGCCAGCCTGGACTACATAGCAAGACTCTGCCTCAAAAAACAAAACAAAACACAAACGAATAAAACTGTCATTAAAATAAACGGGGACTATTTTGATAAAATAAAATCCTGAAAAGAGTAAAAAGTCTCATATCTCAATCATGCAGTCTACCTGAAGCGCCCTACCTGAAGTTGCAGAACACTTGTGTGGCACTGGTTTCACACCAGCCATCTTAGTCCACTCTGTATTGCTGTAACAGAAGACTACAGATTTATAATGAAAATAAATTTCTTTCTCTTGGTTCTGGAGGCTGGGAAGTACAAGATCAAGGTGCTAACACTGGCTATCATTAAGAATACAAAAAACAGGGCCAGGGATTTAGCTCAGTGGTTTCGCTGCCTGCTGCGCAAGTGCAAGGACCCAAGTTCAATCCCCGGTACCAAAAAGAAAGAATACAAAAAACAATAAATGCTGGTGAGAAAGGAGCCCTTTTATACTGCTGGTGGAATGTAAATTAATGCAGCCACTATGGAAATCAGTATGGAGGTTCTTCAAAAATAGAATTACCATGTGACCTAGCTATACTATCCTTGGTATACAGTGGAAGGCATTAAAGTCAGCATACTATAGCGATACCTGTATACCCACGTTTATTGCAGCACAGTTCGTGATAGCCAACATGCGGAATCAGCCTACAGATGAATGGATAGTGGAAATGTGGTATATATCCATCCACAAGAGTACCATTTAGCCATAAAAAACATAATTATGTCATTTGAAGGAAAATGGATAGAACTAGAGATCATGTTGAATGAAATAACCCAGATTCAGAAAGACAAGTATCATACAATCAAAATATATTATATGCACGTATGAAAACGCCACATTGAAACTCAATATTAATATATTTTTAAAAGAGTACCTGTTAGGGTGATCATGAAAAAACATGAAGGGAACAGGTCATTGGCCAGTGTTAGTTGAGATTCAGCCTGCAAGGTCAGTCCTCATGCAACTTTGTATCTCCAGGGCTTTGCCAAAGAGCCCACCTTCACTGATCATGGCCAGAGAAAACCTCCTGATTCTGGCCAGAAATGAAACAAAGCTATTTGCAGGGACACAAAACTAAAAATTCTTTATCAAAGCTCTGAAATAGTGACCTATGCCAAGTTTATCCAAAAGACACTGGCCTAAGAATACCTTCTGAATCATGCGGTCTGGGGCTGGTTGTAGGGTAGACTTATTGGCCACTGGCTGATGGATACCTTTGTCTGGTTAATTCTGAGAACAAACAAGACACTGAGGTGCTAACTAGTTGCAAGACCCAGCACCAGTTGGTATCCCCAACTTCTTAGAGGGACAAGTAACATTCAATCATGAGAGATCAAGCATTTGTGATGCTTTTAGACATCCAGGCCTGCCCACCGGTCCTTTCTGTACAGACTTCTGCTTATAGATGAACAATATTCAAAGCACTAGACAAACATACAGACCACAGGAGCAGGCATAGAAGCCCAGATAACCAAAATCTGACCAGATAACCAAAAAGTCCAGGGAGACCTTCTTCTGAGAGAAAAAAAATAAATCTACTGCTTAAGGATCACAACCAAATTACCAGCACTCAATTCAGCAAGAACCTACCTCCTAGCCACAAGCAGAATGGCACACAAGAGGTTTCACCTGGACACACAATTACCAAGACAACAGTGAGATCCCTGGCCTAATCTCTGTGGACCCTCCATTTCTGACCATGCCCTCCAGCCAGAGACCACCAGCAATGCACCTGTGGATAAATAAAGGAAATGGGACACGACTGCATGCTTGAGAGGGCTTATTGGAGGACTAGGGCTTATGTTAGATGATTTCCTAGGAAAGCTTAAGAAAGGAGGATTTGCTGTAGGTTGGATGCTGTCCAAAAGTGGAGGCAATTGTTTTTGGTTATCTAAATCATTACAAGATAGAAGAGAAGAATCAGGGCTCATGCCTTATTTGTTAAAGCAGCAGCAGTCAGCCAGGTGGTGTGTGCCTGTAGTGCTACCTACTTGGGAGGCTGAGGCAGGTGGATCACTGAGTCCAGGAGTGGGAGACTGGCCTGGGCAAGCAATATAGTGAGCCAAGGTCTCAAAAAAGCAACTGTTTGGTCATTTTTGTGGTTTGGACAATGTTCTTTTCATGTTCAGACATTATTACAGAGTAGTCTCTTTCTCCATCTATCTAAGTGTGATGCTGTCTGATGTTGGTGTTTTGTGAAACTGTTCAACTGCACAGCCTTGCTGGTGGTGCCAGGCCAGCTCCCACCAACAGCAAGCCTTCTGGAGGGAGAATGCAAGTCAGCTCCCAGCTGCCAGGAGCTGCCTTCTCTTTTCCCCCCCTGCACTTACAAAATCGGACCTGGCAACCCCTTTGGCAGAACGTGAGCTCTGTGTATAACCACAGACCCATTTCTCTGCAATACTGTATGTGTCCCCTTCACTCATTCATACTCTCCCTGCACCTGTGGAAAGGAACCAGCCAAACCAGCCCAGAGAGAAGTGACTTGCATAGGCTCTCGCAGTGAACTGGTAGCGGGGCTGAACTAGAATTTTCACTCTGTGGTCTTGCTAGAGGTCAAGGCAGACTGTTAGACCCCTGAGATAACAGCCTGTAAACCTGAGGCAGATTGGCTCAGACAAAAACACTTCTCACTGCTTTCTTGTCCACAAGGGTTCCCGTCATTTCTTCTAGGATGCGGTGCTAGGTGTCAAGATATTAGCCGGGATGCTAAAGTTCCCCCCACCCCACCCCGCCCCCTACGGGGAATCGAACTCAGGACCTTGCGCTTGCCAGGCCGGCGCGGGGCACTGAGCTACATCCCCGGCCCGATTCTAAGCTCTTTCCTCAGCTGCTCCAGCCACTCCTGACCTTTCTGCTCCCCAAGTTCACCAAGCTTACTCCTTCCCTCCTGAGGGTCTGGAACTCTTCCCTCCCATCTGCACGCGGCTGCTTCTCACTTCCCCTCGGCACCTGCTCTGACAGCCTTCCAGTCCTCGGCGCCCTGGCATCCCTCCCTGTCCTCCGGAGTCCGCGTCCTCGGTCCCCTCTAAGAGCTTCCTTGGGGCTCTCTTCACAGTTCTCCTCAGTCTAGAGTGCGGGGCGGGGAGGCGGGAAACGCCCAGCGCCCTAACCTCTCTAGGCTCGTTTCCTTTACGCCCGTGAATCGCTGCGAGCAGAGAGCCAGTCGCCGGTGGAGACTTCACTTTGCACGTCCACTCGAACAGGGGCCCGGGCGCCTTCCCCGTCCGGGATTGGGACTTGCACCCAGCGTCCCTCGCCCGGCTCGGGAGACTCCAGCCGTACGCGAGCCCTCCGCACCTCCCAAGTGCGCGTGCCCGGAGCGAGCCCCGCCTTCAGGGCGGGGCCTGGCGCGCAGCGGGCGGGCCGGCCGGGCGTGCTTCCGGGTGGCGCGATGGGGCGCAGGGCCGGCGTCGCAGGCTAGGGGCGACGAGTGACGGCTCGCCGAGGGTGGCGCGGGCTGGCCTCGGGGCCCTGGAGGGCAGGCGGGCCGGAGAATCCGAGCCGTTGACTCGCCGCCCCCTCCCGGCATGTCGGCTCAGGCCTCCGACCCTGCGGCCCCGGCCCCGGCTCTGGAAGCCGCGAAGCCCTCGGGACTGGAGCCCGGCGCCGCCGCCTGCGGTCTGAAGCCCCTGACCCCGAACAGCAAGTACGTGAAGCTGAACGTGGGCGGCTCGCTGCACTACACCACGCTCCGCACGCTCACGGGCCAGGACTCCATGCTCAAAGCCATGTTCAGCGGCCGCGCGGAGGTGCTCACCGACGCCGGAGGTACGCGCCGCCGCCCCGCCCAGCTTCCCCTCCTTTTGCGAGCACTTTCCCTCCTCTGCTCCTTTGCCCCCAGCGGTAGCCAGCTAGTTACCCCGACTCTGCGAGGCTCTGTGGTAAGTGACTGAGCCCGCCACCTCGTAGTCCTCAGAGTCTGCCACCCTTCAGCCCCACGCTGAGGACACGGGAACCGGCCTTGCTGCCAGCAGCACCCCTGGGGCGACTCGCCTCGGTTTCCAACCACTCCCAAACCTTTTGTTCACCCCTCTGCCTCAGGACCACTAACAGCCAACCTGGAGAGCCGGGGGGGGGGGTCCTGTCTGTCTCCGTGTTCCCCTGACACAGGCTCCTGTATAAATGCAGTGCAGGAGGAGAAGGCTGCTCTGGGTTCGCCAGGGACACCCGGGCGGGTGTGCAGTGCTATCTTCGTGGAGCGGGACCCACACATCTGATGGGGCATTAAAGTTTGTTTGCCGTCCCTCCTCTCCTCCCTGCGGAGGTGGACGGGGATTCAGGGGATTACGAGTATTGTGAAGGCTGCAGGGTAAAAATTGGGGAGATGAGAGTTCAGCCTGCAAATATAGGCGAAGAATTCATTTATTTAATAAATATGTGTAAAGTACCAGTTGGTGCTGGAGACTTTTTTTATTTTTTGGTACCGGGGATCGAACTCGGGTCCTTGAGCTTGCGCAGCAGGTGGCGAAACCACTGAGCTAAATCCCCGGTCCAGTGCTGGAGACTTTTTGATAAAGGAATCTGACAAGATTGGTCTTATAGACTTTGCCTTTTTTAGGCAGATAGAACAAGGAAGTGAAGAACAAAATGTACGTATATGACATTTAAAATAGTAGTGAGCTGGAGAGTGGACATAGGCCATGAACTAGGACCGTCAGAATTAACTCCGGGGTTAGAGGCGTGTTCAGAAGGTAATTACGTGAGAACTTTTGGTGAGAGCCTTCTAACTGGAACAGATTCGGGAGGGAATGGTCTCTTGTGGTAGCTAGGGTGTGTGTAAACGCTCTGGGAGAACCCATTGGAGATGCAGTACTTGAAAACTTCCTTGAGTATAGCAGAGGTTTGAGACACATCAGTGTTCAGGCTCTTTCTCTCTGGAATCCTTTTTTCATAAAGTTTAGGTAGCTCCAGGCCTCTACCAAAACCATCCTTCCTGTTGCCTCTTTCCACTGTACCAGGTTGGGTGCTGATTGACCGCAGCGGCCGCCACTTTGGTACAATCCTCAACTACCTGCGGGATGGGTCCGTGCCGCTACCTGAGAGTACCAGAGAACTGGGGGAGCTGCTAGGTGAAGCTCGCTACTACCTGGTGCAGGGCCTGATTGAGGACTGCCAGCTGGCACTGCAGGTGAGGGTCCCCCACCTCCCAAGTCCTACGCCCATGTGCCTGGAGCTGTCCCAGGGTTAGCTGTTAGGACAGACAAAAGAAGATGCACAAAAAAAGAAAGAAGATGTACATATGGCCAAGAGCCTGGCTCTGATTGGGCGTCACCCCGGAGAATTTGGGAGTACTGTCGTCAGCATCCCTCTCCTCTGCCTCGAGCAGAGCCCCTTCACCTCCCGTGCCAGAACTCCTGGTGTTTAAATGCCTGTTCCCTGCTTCTTGCTGATCCCTCCTGGCCAGTCCGGCCTCTTCACTCCCACCTGAATAGTAAAGTCATCCTTGGCATGTTCCTGCTGGCTCCAGCCACTGGTGGTGCGTGCTTGATTGTCCCATCGGATGGCTCGTACCACTGGTGGTACAAACAGATCTAGTCATGTTTCTCGGTCTTTTTACTAATAAAATTAATAAAAGCTGCCAATGAGACAGTCATGCATATATCACTGTAGTTGGTGCCACCCAGCAGCGAGACCTAGGAATTATGGCCCTGTTGTGAATGTGTTAAACACAGCCCCAATGTATTCGCTCCCTTGCTCTCAAGTCCTGAAGAGGCCTCTGTGTCACCAGAGAAAAAAATCTAAATTTAAATTGGAATATAGCAACCTATATGATGTGATGGGACCCTGGGAGGTAGCACTCTCCCATGTCCTCACCCCAGGGCTGGGCAGACTTGCTTCTCCTTTCTTTCAAACCATTGAAATGCTTTCTTCAGATAAAATGTCAGAGAAGCAGAGGCACTGTCTGTAAAGAGGGTTGAAGGGTTCCGGACGGCACCCTGCACCTGCACCTGCAGAGCTCCCCTTCCAAGGGCCCTCAGGGTTCTGAAAGCTCAGTCAGGACCCAGGGCTTTGGAGTCAGCCGAGTCAGTTCCCCTCTGGCATTCTCTCCTTAGGTTCCAAAAGATAAAGAACCAAGAAAAATAAGTACAATGTAATTAATAAGTACAATGTAATGTAAGTATAATATAAGATTCTACATAGAGCCTTTTATTCTGTTCAATTTTTGTAACATTAAAATGTCTTATGACAGCAGTAATAAGAGATTATAAGAGGATTTTTTTCTGGAAAACATTTATTGCTACATTGTAGATAACATAATGATAACATTCATCATAGGGAATTTGTGCCTATACGTGATCTATCTTGCTGCTTCTTTTTTTCCCATTTACCCCACTTCGATCCTCTTTCCTTCTATTCTTTCTTTTCTTTTTTTTGTTTTGGTACCAGGGATCGAACTCAGGTCCTTGAGCCTGCGCAGCAGGAGGCGAAACCACTGAGCTAAATCCCCGGCCCTCTATTCTCTTTTTTTCCTTGTCCCTTCTTTCCTTTCCCCCTTCCCCCTGCCTTGTTCCCTTTCTCATTTGAACATTTTCTTCCCCTTTCCCAATATCTGCTATACAGTTAAGAGTTTCTTTTTTAATGCCCTTTATAGATTAAAATGTGGTGACTTTGAACAACTTTCTCTCGCTTCTGGGACTATTTATTTTTCTTGAAATCCAAAGGTACAGCATTTCTTTGGACAGTCTCCATGTTTTTCATACTTTCTGACTGCAGCTCATGATGAGAAATACATTTTTATGCTCATGTATATCACTGAATTTTATGAAAGGATACTTTTAGTGAAATGTACTTTGATAAATTGTTCTCTCCCTCTCTCCCTCCCTTCCATTCTTCCTTTGTTCCTCTCTAATACTGTTTGAGACTCATTAAATTTATTTCATAACCTGTTAACAGGTTACTGCTTATAGTTGAAAAACATGGAGCTAGACCTCGGGAGTACGTTCCTGCTGTATAATTTTAAATTGAGCTAATGTTATTGTACACCCACTGTGTGTCGGGGTGATTTTGCTATCTGCTTGTGTGTACATTCTGTATCCTTGGTTTACATAAAAAGAAACATGTGGGCAATGGGATGATGCACTCGAGATCAGTGAGCCAGTAAGTGGCAGAGATCAGATTCAGCCCCAGAGACCCTGCCCAGCCCCTGCCCTGCAGCTCAGCACACTCCTGGCATCACTGGGCTATGCAAATCTTTTCTCTTTTTATTTTTTCCCCTTCATTCCCAATCCCTCGCCCACTTCCCCTTTCCCTAGGGGCCACCCATTCAGTGCTAATGTTTGTGTACATATACTGTACTGGGATTAAGTTTATACTCTTGGAAAGCTAAAGCATTCTTTCGTGTATGTATGCATTCTACTTTATTTTTTATATATGCATTTTAATTAATTAATTAATTTATTTATTTTTGGGTACCAGGGATCAAACTTGCACTTGTGAGGCAGGCGGCAGAACCACTGAGCTAAATCCCCAACCCTTTATATGCATTTTAAATTTCCATAAATGGCGTTGAGCTGTGGATCATGTTGTCTCATAGTTTTTCGTTCTGCCCTTTTTTCAAGATCTATTCATGCGCTGCTGTACATCTCATACCTTGCTTCTAAGAGCTGCATGGGAATCCATGTGGGTTTTGCTTGCTATATTTTATTCACGCACACCCCGGTGGTTGGAGACCTAGCTTACCTCCCACTTCCTACCCCCACAAACTTGTACACATGGCCTTATGGTCCTGCGCCAGTTTCTCATGGTGGTAGCTGGGAAGCATTGTTGGGCTATAGACTCATGCAAACCGAATTTGACTTCCAAATGGTTGTAGTGCTGGTGTTCTTGATGAGCAGAGCAGAAGGCATCCCAGTTCTGCCATTCTCAGCACATGTGGCACCCTTCATCTTTCTAATTTTGCCAATCTGACTTGAGTAGAGAGTGATCTCATTTTACTTCGCATGGCTCTGATTACTAATGAGGTTGAGCTCCTTTTTTTTTGAGCATCTTTATATACATACTCGCTAGCTTGTTTGGTGTCCCATTCTTAAATTGCTTATTCATATTTTTTACCAAAATTTCTACTGGATTTCCTTCCTGCTGCTTGGCAAGAGATCTTGCATATTTTAATCTAGTTTTTTAGGGAATATTAAGCCTTATTATATAAGAGCATGTATTTTACATGCTCTCAGGCATGTGGGGTTTTTTGTTTTTAGTTTTTTTAAATCTTTTAAGACCAAAGCATTTATTGTGACTAATGGTCAAAATTCTGAAGATGAACTGCATGCTGCAGCGGCCACTCTCATGGTTTTGGGTGTTGTTCCTTCACACAGTCTGTGCCTGAATCTGTGATACACGCTTCTGAGGTGCCTCATTTGCCCAGTCCTCGTGGTGTGTCATCTTTTCGCCTTGGCATGCCGGTTTTACTTTCTCTTGATCTTGGCAGGGCAGACGCGTTTGCCACAGGTGGACTTCTGAGGGTAGTAGGCCTCAGGGCCCCAGCAGCAGCACAACCTTCCCGTCTTGTTATGAAATTTTCTGAATGAAGCTGCTTCCTTTGTCGTGTTGATTCTGCTGCCAAGGCCAAAGAACTTAAGGCAGTGATTGTGAACCTTTCAGAGCTTTAAAGGATACAAACAGCCTGCCTTGGCACACGTGCCGTGCCGTAGGTTCGCCGTACTGCCCTGAGGCATGCGTTGTAAATAATAAACTAGCCTTTCTCCTAAGCATCTAGAATGATACCTTTTACCTACTGTGGTTCAGAGAGTTCAGAAAGTACTCAAATTATTTTCTGAGTTTTAAGGTTCGGATGAGGAATCCTAGTTCAGAAAATCTATTCTAGGTAATAATTTAGTCAATTTTACATATTGCCAGTATTTTCTTTTAGAATGTTACCTGTTTGTGACATCTGGTATTAACTAGAAATCCTTGGTTTTGAAACAAAATTACAATAAATCACTTATTATTTTTAAAGCAGTATTTATCAATTGTTGAAATTTAAGAAACAGATAAAAAATAAATAAATACAAGCACCAAATATTCTTGCAGGTCTTTGTGTGTATCTGTGTGCATGTGTGTGTCTCTGCTAGAATCAAGTTGTATGTAGTTTTGTAAGCTGCCTTTTAAGGTCATTGTTAATAATTGCCATCTTGCCATATTAATAAAATCTTTAACACCCAGGGCAAACTCCAGCTTCTCCAGTTGTTTGAGAGCTGTTTTTTACAGCTAGTTCGCGTTGCATCTAGTTATTCTCTTCTCTGAGTCTCTTTTGCCCCAAAACAGACCCTACTTTTCCCATGATGCTGATGTGTTAGAGAAACTGCCAGCTTTCCTGCAGAGTAACCTGCTTATCAGCTCTGCCTCATTTACTCCTGGTATCACTTGGTTTGTTATCCTGCTTATCCCAGATTTTCTGTAAATTAGATCATAAGTTTAAAGCCTTGATATTAAATATTTTGGCTGGAATACATTTTAGATAATGTTCTATATTTCATATTGTGCTACACTGAAGACCCATAATGTTGCGAGTGTGACCCTTGTTAGTGATGCTCACAATTGGCCCCTGGACTCAGGTGGTGGGGGTTTGAGTCGAGTTGTAGTTACATTTCCTCACGGCCAGCTATAAAGTCATCTGTATCGTATTAATTGGATGCTGTACAATTGGCAGTTACCTAGTTTCAACACACCAGTTGGTAGTCTTTGCCTAAATCAGTAATTTCACTAGGATTGTAGGGTAACTGTAATTCTTTTTGGCACTGGGGATCAAACTCAGGACCTTGTGCTTTCGAGGCAGGTGGCGGAACCACTGAGCTAAATCCCCGGCCCCAGGATAACTATAATTCTGTTATCTCCTCATTGTGTAAAGTCAGGCTTTCTAGTGTCAACTGAGAAATATTTATGTATTATTTTGAAGAAAATTTATTATTCAGTGATTACACTTAGTCAAGTCTTTTTCTACATAATTTGTGAATTTTTTTTTTTTTTTTGGTACCAGGGATCGAACTTGGGACCTTGCGCTTGTGAGGCAGGCGCCGGAACCACTGGGCTAAATCCCCGGCCCTAATTTGTGAATTTTTCAACATCAGACATTTGTGTCATTTGCTTCTGTTCATGTTTTCTTGACCAATTCTTCATTGTTCCTTCTAAAATGTTGCATTCCATACATGAGGCAATGAAGTATTTTTAACCACCACTGCTAAAGCACTTATGCATTCATCTGCAGCTACCTATAGGCTGAAGGGAAATATTTCACTCATTTCAATGAAAAATTGCTTTATATTCAGTAATGACTACTGGCATCTTAGTCTTAAAATGATTTCTCCAAAGAAACCCTCTGCTGGGTAAACGGCAAAAATTTAAGTCATCATTGTGCTTACTTATTTTTGAGACAGGGTCTCACTATGTAGTCCAGCCCCCTGAGTACTGGGATTATAGGCATCCACCACCATACTTGGCTTTGGTTTGGTTTTTGTTTGTGTTTCATTCTTTTTTGAGACAGAATCTCTTAAGTTGCCCAGACTAGCCTCAAACTTAGGATCACCCAGCTTCAGCCTTCTGAGTAGCTGAGATTGCAAGTGTGTGCCACTATGCCCAGCTTCAATTGAAAAATTCCTGACGTTAACATGAATCAAATTACTTACTTTTATTTTAACCAGTGTTGTATCCTTTTAGTCTTATTTAAGAAGTTTTGCTTTTTTTTTTGTATTTTTTTTGTTCTTTTGGTACCGGGGATCAAACTTGAGGCCTTGTGCCTGCAAGGCAGGTGGTGGAACCACTGAGCTAAATCCCCTGGCCCTAAATTTTTTCTTTATTTTTGGAGAAAGGATCTCACTATGTAGTTCAGGGTGGCCTTGAACTCACTACTGAGTCCAGGCTGGCCTCGAACTTGGCAGTCCTCCTACTTCAACCTCTGAGTGTGTGATTACAAGTAATCACAAGTGATCGTGTGATTACAAGTGTGTGCCACCATGTCTATTCTGTATTTTTTATTAGCTTTATTGTTTTATCTGTGGATTTCTCATATAAGGACATTCTAATCTCAGTGGAACTCACTTTTGTGCAAGTGGTTAAGAAGGTATTTAACTCTTTTGTCCTCCATGGAGTGAGATAGTTTTCCCAGTACCATCTGTGAAGCAATCTTTGAAAATTAGCATCCAAGAGGGCCACCAATGATTCTTGCCTCCTGGTATCCAGGCTTTTGTGTAGCTTCCTCCCATGCTGAATAAGGCTAACATATGTCACCGGTAGGATGTTGCAAAGATGATAGTGTGTGGCTTTTGAAGCTAGGTCATAAAAGGCATTACAGCTTCTGCCTCTCTCGGGTCATTCACTGGGGAAGCCAGCCCTGATGTGAAGATACAGCAGCTCTCAGAAGAGGTTCTCTTGGTGGGGAACTGAAGCCTCCTCACAAATCCAGCACAGACTCCCAGCTCTGTGGGAACTGCCTCAGAAGCAGACCCTGATCTGGGTTCTGGGTGTGTGCCTCACACCTGTAATCCCCTCGGAAAGAGAGGAGCAAACGGGTTCAGTCAAGACTTCAGATTGCAACTTCATGAAAGACCCCAGGGCAGGGCTCACCCAACTAGGCTAGTCTTAAATTCCTGGCCCACAGAACATGTGTGTGGTAGTAAATGGTTTTTTTTTTGGTACCGGAGATTGAACTCAGGACCTTGAGTTTACAAGGCAAGTGCCGGAACCATTGCGCTAAATCCCTGGCCCGTAAATGTTTATTGTAGTTTTAAGTTACTAAATTTGTAGTAATCTGTTCCCTGGGAAAAGATAACAGATTTTGGTTTCTGTTAGGGTCAGTGTAGAGCCAGCCATGAAAAAAACCCCTAAAATATGGAAATAGCTTTAGAACTGAAAAGTGGGCAGGAGCTGGGAGGACTTTGAGCAGAATGTTGAGCCTCCTCTGGGGAAGCAGTAGTAAGGGCTTAAAGAATGGTTACGAAAATATTATTGGAAATTGATGGAAAGCAGATCCTGGTTATATGGAAAATTAACCACAGTGTCCACTGCACTAATGCATAATTAGGAAGTGTACACCTAGTGAACTTGAGTGATCTAGCTAAGGAGATTCCCAGACAGAATGCTGAGGGTGCCTGAAGAGAAAGAAAACCAGTTGCAGAAAATGCCAGAAGCTGTTGGATTTGAAGTTTTCCAGCCTTTCCCTACAGATAACTCATATGTTAAAATTGACAAATGACTTCCAGACAGAGATCAAGTACAGAGCATTGTCAGGAAAATGTGGTCTGAAGATGACTCCAAGAATGTGATTATAAAGTCCTTTTTTATCTCAGCACTGAGGTAGGAGGCTGAGGCAGGAGGATTGCTGCAAGTTCAAGACCAGCCTGAACTATATATTGAGACCCCGTCTCACAAAAACCAAAAACAGAAAGTCTTTTTGTGAAGACTTCGTAAGTATCCAAGGAGATACTTCCGGACTATTTGATCAAGTAATAGCACTTCTGAGAAGCTTAAGGGGAATGGTGCCCGCCGCACTCTGAGCACAGCCCAAAGTAGAGAAGGGCTTGCCTTGCAGACAGACTGGTGGGTATGGCTTCTGTCTTATGCACTATACCCCCAAAATTACAAGAGACTCAGAGAATTACAGTGATAGAAACACTGTCGTTGTGGACTGAGAGGAGCAGAGCCAGAGTGAAGGGGGAAGAGGCCTTTGGGCCCCTAAGTTTCTATAGACAGGAAGCAGGCTAGGGGGAGCCAAGCTGCACACGTCTCCCCATGCAGGAGGCTGGTGCAGGGTGTGAGCGCTGTGGGGAATCATGGGTTTGCAACATCCGCATCCTGCAGCACCTCTAGGTCTAGTGCCTTCTGTGTCCCCTCGGTCTCCTCCCCTTTCGAACAGGTGTCCCTAGTGGTTGTCCTGTTTCTGCGACTGCGGTGTGGAAAAGAGGCTTGTCTTTTGTTCACAGTTCTTAAACTACATGGGAAATGTCCTTCAGGAGTGATAAAGAACTGTGGACCTGGGGCCGGGGATTTACCTCAGTGGTTCCGGCGCCTGCCTCTCAAGCACAAGGTCCCAAGTTCAATCCCCGGTACCAAAACAAAAAGAACTATGGACCTGATTAAGAAGACAGCATTTTGGGCTGGGTGTCATGGTAGACCCTTTTAATTCCAGAATCGCCTGGCTGAGCCACTGCAGAACCTGGAAATGGAAACAATAAATTTGTTGTTGTTGTTGTTGCTGTTAATTTCAGCTGCTAAGTTTGTTGCACAGCAGTGGGTAACTATTACACACTCCATACTTCTCCCTCACTTGTGTGTGGTGTCTTTCTGTGAGTCCTCACGTTCATACCCTGGACTGTTTCTGAGTACTCTGTTGTATTCTATTGCATTTTTGTCTTGTTTCCACACTAGAATCAAAGTATATTCATTATTTTAGCTTTGTAGTGTATCTTTTTTTTTTGGTACCGGGGATCAAGCTCATAACCTTCCGCTTACGAGGCAGGCGCAGTGGCACTGAGCTAAATCCCTGGCCCTGTAGAGTATTTTAAAATTTAGTAGAGTGAGTGTCTCCTCTTTGTGCTTCTTTTTAAAATTGATCTAAGGGGTTGTGGACTTTTATTTATCCATATTTATCTTTTTTCTTGGTACCAGGGATCGAACTCGGGTCCTTGCGCTTACAAGGCAGGCGACAGAACCACTGAGCTACATCCCTGGCCCTCATCCATAGTTATCTTAATCTTTTATCGTGTTGCTCAGGCTGGTCCCAGACTCTTATGTGAGGTTCTCTGACCCTCCCACCCCAGCCTTCTGAGTGGCCAGGATGACAGGCGTATGCCGCCGCTTCCGTGTTAGCTTCAGACTAAGCCTCAAGAGTTTCTCAGAGAGGAACTCTGGAATTCATAGTAGGGTTGCACATTTAGTTTCCAAGAGTGGGCAAGGTAAGAGGGGTTTGGGCATGAAGATTCTAGAAAACGGAGAAGAGAACCCATGGAGCCGGGCAGGGTGGTGCAGGCCTGTGACCCCAGCACTCGGGAGGCTGCATGAGAAGGATTGCGAGTTCAGCGTGGACTCCATTCGGTAACCTATCTCAAACAATGTCATCCTGCCCAACCAGCTTCATTGATTCAAGAAGTAAATACTGAGCATTTTTGTAGTAGGAATTTACTCTCCAGGGAGAGACAGGCCATAAGCAAATTACAGAAGGTTAGAAAATGTCAGGAACTAAGTGTGGTGAAGGAAATGGACCCTTAAGATGAAATGGAGTAGGTCGAGGGGCTACTGGAGGCAGGGTAGTGAGGAGATATTTGAGCTGAGGCCTGGTGGGCAGGGGCCCAGCTGTGGAAGCAGCTGAGTGAAGAGCAGTCCACGCTGGGGACAGCCCAGGGTCAGGGCAGCCCAGCCCAATGTGCACAGCAATGAGGCAGGCCTGAGAGCAGGCGCCCAGCCTGCAAAGAGAGTGGTGGAGCTGGTATGGAGGGCTTGAGTCCTACAGAGCCTCAAAGACCACTGCGGAGTCTGGATTTGTGTCCCCAGGGCCTCAGGCAGCTCCTAGTGCCTTAAATGAGGGAGGGAGAGACCTGTGGTTGTGCTGTTAACTACCTTCTACTTCTTCCCCAGCAAAAAAGGGAGCACCTGTCCCCACTGTGCCTCATTCCCATGGTGACATCTCCCCGTGAGGAGCAGCAGCTCCTGGCCAGCACCTCCAAGGTGAGGCCCCTGAGTGCTTTGGGGTGGAGGCCAAGGGCTTCTTCCTGCAGCCTGACCCCTCCCTCTCCCCTCTCCCCCAACAGCCCGTGGTGAAGCTCCTGCACAACCGCAGTAACAACAAGTACTCCTACACCAGGTGATGCCGAAGGGCTCTGCACGTGGGCACGTCTGGCACTGTGGGGTGGGGTCCCGCCCTGCTCCTGGCTTCAGCCATGTGGATGGGCTGGAAATGCCTGATGCACCTGCCAGCTCTGCCACTTGCCCGCTGGGCACCTTGGGCAGGTCGTCCCCCTTCTGAACTTGTTTTGTCATCAGGAAGTAGGAGTTTGGGGAAGAACTAAGGAATGGCTAGAGCAAGCACAATGGTGCCTCGGTTCATGAACACTTTGGTTTGCAAACAGTTTGGTTCACAAACAAGCATTTCTCAAAATTTTGTTTTTGTTGCAAACTCTGCATCGGGTGACAAACAGGACTGCAGCCATCTTTCCCACACAAACACAAATGTGGCCACCTTTTCCAAAATCGTAGAAGAAATTAAGTTTGTGACCCATGGTATACTGTAGTTACTTTCAAACCACATCTACAATCCCCTTAGTGACACAACCCCTGATGTCCGAGGTAGGTGTTGTCATCTCTGTTTGCAGATAAGATCCAGGCACCAAAAGCAGGGCCAGGGGTTTAGCTCAGTGGCTCTGGAGGCTGCTGCACAAGTGCAAGGTCCGGAGTTTGATCCCCGGTACCAAAAAATCCCCCCAAAAACCAAAGGTGAAGTAACTCACCCATTGTCACCCAGTGAGTGGCAGAGCTGGAATGGCAGGTGGGCAGCAGGCTCCAGAGACTGGGACCTGCTCCGAAATGGTCCTTACCTTCCGAGGCTGCCTAGCCACATGGCTCCTGCAGGCAGGGGCAGATGGGGACCTGGGGCCCATCCTGGGGATCGGAGGAGGGAAGCCAGTCATCCTGAAGCCACCTGGGCCTCATCCTCAGCACCTCAGATGACAATCTACTTAAGAACATTGAGCTGTTTGACAAACTGGCCCTGCGCTTCCACGGGCGGCTGCTCTTCCTCAAGGATGTCCTGGGGGACGAGATCTGCTGCTGGTCCTTCTATGGGCAGGGCCGCAAGATCGCCGAGGTGTGCTGCACCTCCATTGTCTATGCCACGGAGAAAAAGCAGACCAAGGTCAGAGGGTTCCGGCCTGGCCGGGAGGGGTGTGGGGCTGGCAGGACCAGGACCCTGGACGGAGGCAGCTAGGCGGGCAGGTGGGGGTCAGGCCGATTCTGGGGTCGTGGTCTGTCACTTGGGCAAGTGGTCCCCCATGTCTCCTCCTGGAGGGTGAGGGTTGGGGTCAGAGCTGGGGCCTTGTAGAGTAGTGTTCTTTTTTCTTTCCTTTTACTTTTTAAAATTGTGCATGCTGGGAATTGAATCCAGGGTGTGATCTACCGTCGAGCCATACCTCAGCCTGAGGAGGTGTGTGTGCATTTTTCTGTGTAGAATCTCAGAAGGGTCCACTTCCAGAAATAGGTTCTTAAAACCACAGCACCACTTAGAACACCCCGGATTTGCAGATCGTGAGTCGTGAACATGAGTCATCCGCAGATACTTCCTGAACACCTGCCCCGCACTGAGTGTGACCCTGGGCAGCGAGGAGCTGAGCAGAGTGCAAGCCCTTCCCACCCAGCCCTTGCAGGCGCAGCAGGAGGAGCACACCGGGTGCCACAGTGCCTGCCAGTCGTGGTGCCTGGGTCCTTTCCCACCCTACCCATGCACACTCGATTCCCTCTTCTTAGAATTCTTTTTTTTTCCCCATACCTGTCTGCCTAATGAGCTTATATGTTTTGTTTAGGTTGGTTTGGTTCTTGGAGACAGGGTCTTGGTATGTAGTTCAGGCTGGCCTTGAACTCACCGTGTACCCCAGGGTGGCCTCAAGCTTATGGTGATCCTCCTGCCTCAGCCTCACAAGTCAGCACTTACAGGTGTGCACCACCACGCCCGGCTCCGTACTTAATGTTTACGACTCAAGGGGCTGGGTATTTAGCTCAGTGGTTCCGCCACCTGACTCAAAAGGGGAAGGACCAGAGTTCTTCCCTGGTACCAAAAAAAAGAAAAAAAATGCTTGATTTACACCTTATAATTGTTCAATAGAAACATTTAAGGGCCGGGGTTTTAGCTTAGTGGTTCCAGCCCCTGCCTCGAAAGTGCAAGGTCCCGAGTTCCATCCCCGGTACCAAAAAAAAAAAAAAAAAAAAAAAAAAAAAATAAAAAAAAAAAAAAAAAAAAAAAAAAAAAAAAAAAAAAAAAAAAAAAAAATTTACGAATCAAGCCAAACATCATTTTTTTCCTTGGAACAGCTTTGCTCATGACTTCAACCCAAACAGTCCACACAAAGTTAGTGATGCTTCCTTCTTAGCTAGAGACAGTCTGCTGTCATCTATGGGTTGGGGTCGGGTTGCCTCAGCAGAAGGCCCCTCTGTACCTTTTTTCCTGTCTCCTTAACACTAGCCTGGCCCTTGTCTAATCTACGAAACATGCTTAGAATGTGTAGATGAATGAACGAATGACTCAGCTTCCTGGAGGTTTCTTCTGCAGTTGGGAGATAAGACAAACCAGTAATTAGAATACAGTGTAAGAGCTGTTGATTATGTCCTTCAGAGACCACTCCGTGGGGTGCCCCTGTCAGTTCTTCCACTTCATTCCTCTCTGTTCTCATTCTTCATCACGCTGCCTCAGTGCCTTGGCCTCCTTGTGGCTCTCTGATCTATATGCTGAGCACATTCCTGATCCAGAGCTGGTACCTTACTTTGCTGCTCCTGGGCTGCTCTCTCTCGCTCTCTCCTGGCTTTGGTCATATACCACCTTCCCGGTGAGGCCTTCTCTGAACTACTTGTTGAAGTCTCTGATCTATTCTGCGTACCATTTGTCGTCCTCTGACTGTATTTATATTTTGTTAAGCATGTGTCTGAGTCCTCCCTTAGGATATAAACTTGCTGAGGGCAAGCACTCTGTCTGCTCTGTTCACTGGTTTCTTCCCAGTTCCTAGAACAGCTCCTGGCATAGTGCAGTCACTCCATAAGTACTGGGCAAGTGAAAGAACAGACCCAGAGACTTGGCAGGGAAGGACAGACCACCGTCTTTCTGCCGTCTGAGTTCAGAGCTGGGCCTGGCAGCAGGACTTTGCCAGCTAAAGAAGTTGCAGAGGACATTGAGGCCTGGGGACCTGACCACCAAGGCTGGGAGGTGTGCAGTGCAGGAGCGGCCAGGAAAGGGGGCTGCGGCCCTGGGCTGGAGGTGGGAGCTGGGCGTTGCTGGCCTTTTGCAGGTGGAGTTCCCAGAGGCCCGGATCTTCGAGGAGACCCTCAATATCCTCATTTACGAGACTCCCCGGGGCCCAGACCCAGCCCTTCTGGAGGCCACAGGGGGCGCGGCTGGAGGTGGTGGGACAGGCCGAGGGGAAGATGAGGAGAGCAGAGAGCACCGTGTCCGCAGGATCCACGTCCGGCGCCACATCACCCATGATGAGCGTCCGCATGGCCAGCAGATCGTCTTCAAGGACTGACCTTGAGCCTTCCCTGCCCCGTTTCTGAGCCCCAGTCCCTCCCTCTTCTCTCTTCCTCTCCCAGACCTTTTCCCCGGCTCTGCTGGCCAAGTCGTGGGTCTTCCTTCTGTCCCCTTGTGGCATGGTACAGTTCGCCTTGGCCCTTTCTACTCATGGCTAACACAGCCCATTCCAGCCCCTGCAGGCAGAGCCCTTTGGAAGGCCAACATTTGCTCCCTCCTCGCCATTCTTGTCCCTGCAGACTTCCCCTCACCAGCTGGTTAGGATGATTTAGAACCCCCTTTCTCTCTTTAGTTCATTGTACACAGGAAAGTGTCGAGCCAGCCCTTAGTAACACCCCGCGTTCCAAGCTGCCTCAGGCGGGCGCTGCCTCCTGCCTGCACTCCCCTCCCTGCTTCCTTAACTGTGTCCTAGGCCGGCCTGGGCCTGTACCAGCTCAGCTATCTTCTCCATCTGTTTCATATTATTTATTGTTTTAATTTTCTATTAAATTATTGGAATAATTTGAGTTGAGGATCTGCTCCTGTCTCCCAGGGAGGGAAAAGGAAAATACCTTGCATAAAGGAGGTACCTGACTAGTTTTATGGCAGAAGGTATGAGCCCTCATCCCAAGCCCTTCTCGGGCCGGTAGCAGGGAAGGAAGTAGTCAGGAGTTAGGAGAGAATTCAGTCTGTATTTCAGTGCTGCCTGGCCAGTTCCCACCTCAGCCCCCTGCCCACAGTGGGGAGGAGGTCCTGGCTGCCTGCCGCTCAGGCTGACCCGGTGAAGCAAGTCTCTGGTCCAGGTGTCTGAGGGAACACCTTCCTTCATGAGTCTGGTGTGAAGACAAAGTCAAGGGCCTGGCGCTCGGCCCCAGCCACGTTGGGATGCCAGAGGTCCACGATGAAGACCACTCGAGGCCCATCTTCAGGGGAGCCTAGGGCACAGGGGGATGGAAACAGCAGCTGGTGTTTAAGACACTGAGGAAAGCAAGACTCAGTAAATAAGTACCAGGCCTTATTCTAATCCTTACATGTAAGAGTTCGTAATCATCAGAACAAACAGGTAGTGCCATAGTTGTCCCTCTTATACAAGGTGTACAAGGCACAACAAGGTTTAAGTACCTTGCCCAAGCCTAAAAGCAAGAGCTAGGGTGGGAGCCCAGGTGACTTGGCCCAGTGTCCTGTGCTGGTACACACTTTATACACACTGATGCAGACTTCTGTTCCCTCACTTGATAAGGATGGCGGTTGCCCCATGGGTGATGGGAGGATTTGTGTGACTTGCTTAGGGTCATGCAGCTGGAAAATGGTGGTATGGGGACAGGAAGTCAGCTGGACCTGATTCTGAGGCCCTCTAACTCCCCGGTTTGGTCCTACACCCCCAGCCCAGCCAGACGGGCCCCATTACCATTGTGAGCCACTGTGTGCAGGAAGGAGTCGTCCACCAGGAGGCAGTGTCCCTCGGCCCAGCACTGGGGCTCTCCCCCAACCACCAGCTCACAGCCCCGTGGGATCTTCAGGCCTGCGGAAGAGAGGGGGGCACTGTTCAGCCAGCAGATAAGGGCCCTAGAGACAGGGCTTCCTCTGGAAGGTGACAGCTCAGTCACCATAGAGCACTGGGATGGGGAGGTGCTGCTGTGCAAAGTGCAGTCCATTGTTCTGGAAAGGAGGCTTCCAGGAGCAAAATGCTTCTCCCCTTGGGCTTCCTCACAATTCACATCAAGATCCTACTACATGCTGGGTGCTGGCTCCCCACAAGGTACCACTGAGGACTCCGTGCTGGCCCAAGGACAACATGGTGCAGTGTGATAAGAACACTGAGCAGCTGTCTCTAAAGCCAGGGAACAGGAGGGCATCCCAGGAGGAGGTGTGAGGGCTGAGTAGTTTCACAGTTAGTGATGAAGGGAGAAGTCATTCTAGGTTGAAAGATCAGCCCAGTAGCAGTGGCTGGGATTAGCCAGAGAGCCTTCAGGAAAGTACAGTGGGAGGGAAGCGGCTAAAAGTCTGGCCTTGATCCTGAGGCCCATGTGCCCTGAAGTGTAAGACATCCAACTGGCAGCACAGATGATTTTGGGTGAATCAAGGTCATGACAATAACAATCAAAATCGATTTCCATTTCCTTTCAATCTTTAAAACATCGCAAAGGAAACCTGTTTGGTGTTCCTGGAACATCAGCACCCCACTAACAGCATTACCTTTCCGATGAGGAAAGCATAGGTTTCAGGCCTGGAGTGACTTGCAGAGTTGGCTAAAATATTTGTCTTCCTTTTTTTGTTGTTGTACTGGGGACTGAACTCAGGGCCTTCACACTGAGTTACATCCCCAGACCCTTTTTAGCCTTCATTTGTGAGACGGGGTGTTGCTGAATCTTTACATTGGCTAGGCTCAGAGGCCAGGGATTTGGCTCAGTGGTGCCACTGCCTCCCTTGCAAGCACAAGGTCCCGAGTTCAATCCCCGGTACCTCCCCCCCAAAAAATTGGCTAGGGGCGAGGGTTTTAGCTCAGCGGTTTCACCACCTGCACAAGCACAAGGACCTGAGTTCAATCCCCGGTACCAAAAAGAAAGAACTTGAGGCAAGAGCAAAGTCTTGGTTGTCCGAGGGAGTGTGCTCCTTCCTGACATGGTGGCTGTTATCCAAGCACGTGTGTCTAGCTCAGTCTACCTCAGGCCCTGAATTAAATTGGCTAGGCTCAAATTTACAGTTCTGCATCAGCCTCCCAGAGTGTTGGGATTACAGGTGTGGGCCACCACACCTAGTTTAATTTTGTAAGTACTTTTTTTTTTTGTATTGGAAATGAACTCAGGACCTTTCGTTTTTGAGGTAGGTGTGGTGCCACTGAGCTAAATCCCAGGCCCTGAGTACTTTCAAATTAGAGCTAGTAATAATGATATCACTTACAGTTCTATAAAGATTCCTTTTCAATACGCAAACCCAAAGAGAGTCAACTTGACGTACTGTAGCACGGAAGGTCAGTAACTGCGGCATAACTTAGGGTAATGTTTACAATAGTGGAGCTTGGGAAGTGCTGCTGTGGACAACAGGGAATCACGGATTTCCAAGAAGAGGGGCATGATGAGAACAGTAGCGTAGAAACATCTGGTGGTGAGAAGAGGATCTAGGGGGAGTGTGGGGCGAGGAGGTTGTGTGCAGGCAGGGAACTCACCCAGATGGCATCTGACGCGGGCGTTGGTGGGCCCACAGCGGCTCTCCAGCCGGGCCCCAGGCAGGAGCACAGAGAAGCCTGCGTTGCCAAAGGTGTTGGCGCTCATGAAGCTACGCAGCCCCCTCAGGGCCCGGTAGGCCCCTGGGCACCGGCGGCAATTGCTGGGTTGGCACCGGCCTGCCTGGTACAGCAGGAGCTGGTAGCACCCAGGAGCCAGGGCCGGGGACCAGCCCCGAGGCAGAGGGGCCGTCCCTGAGAAGTCCCGGCTCACAGCCCCGAAGTCCCGCAGGATGGCAGGGAAGCTGCTCTCCAGGAGCTCCACGTCATGCCGCTGGGCATCGCGGGGCACAAAGGGAGCCGAAGGCAGGTCTGGTAGGAACAGCAGGCCTGGGCGCTGAATGCCCGGGGCCGCTGGGCCTCCCCCCGGGCCTGGGCCGCCTAGAGCTGCCCGCCTCAGCCTCCCCATCCCAGCCCAGGAGTAGCGCCTGGCGTAGGCCCGAAGCCGGCGGCTCACTAGGCCTCCTGTCCCTGGGCCCTCCCCGGGCTCCCCTGAGCTGCCAGACTCAGGGCATCCCCCGGGCTCACCACCGACCCCTCCAGCCTGGGTCCCAGCCCCCAGGGCCCGCAGGTCTTGGGAGCCCAGGCGGTAGCAGTACCAAAGGAACAGGGGAGTCAGCGCCCCAAGGAGCACGGTGATCGCGGAGGAGGCCAGGGGCAGCGGCCAGGGGAGCGCGATGGGCAGGGAGGCCCTGGCCAAGAGGCCTGGGGCACCTTCCAGACCCCGGTTCCCTTGTGCCCCCGGCTCAACCCCTGTGCTCTCTACGGCTGCCTCCGGGTTCCCCCCGGGGCCGCCTCCCTTCCACATTCCCACTGCGGCCCCTTCTCTCCCCTTGTACTCCCTGGCCGCCTTCCGGAGCCGGCGTCCCCCTCCCACTCCCTCTTCCTCCTAAAGTCCAGGCCTTTCCCTCCCTCCCTCCCTCCCGGCCCCGCGGCCTTGCTTCCCCTCCTCACGCCCTCGCCCCCACTCTCCCCTGTCCTCCCTCCACCACCCCTCCTTTCGCTCGCGGTCTCTCCCTGCTTTTCCTTCTTCCTCAGACCGCAATCCCTGCGCCCCGCCCGCCCGGCCCGCTTCCCCCCCGCGGCTCCTCCCGCCCGCTCACCCTGACGTCACTCTTCCCGCAGCCGCCCCCCCCCCGCACCCCGCGCCCGGCCGCTCAGCTCCGGGGGAGGGGGCTCATCTCCCGCTCGGCCTCCCGCCTCGCAGCCAAGGCCGGGCGCCACGTGGGGTGCAGGGGTCGCGGTGCCAACCCCCGGCCGCCCCGCAATGCGAAAAGCGGGCGGGGCCGGGGCGGACTTGACTGACGGACAGGCCGGCGGGCGGGGCCGCGCTCGGTGGTCCGCGGGCCTCGGGCTGTCGACCGGGCCTCCTCGGGCTTTCCGGGAGCAGCCCCAGTCCCGCGCGGGCCGCCGCTCAGTGACAGCGGCTCGGGCCAATCGCCGGCCGCCGGGGCTCGGGGCGGGGCTGGGAGCTGTCCGCCCGGCGGTGCTGAAAAGGGAGCGCCCGGAACCCGGGGCCGAAGCCTCGGGCGCGGCGGGGCAGGCCGCGGCTCGAGCAGGGGTCTCCTCCCAGCCCCGGCCCTCGCCTCCCAGATGTGCAGACGCCGCCTCCCGGGGAGGGGAAGGCGCGCTCCGCTCTTAAGCTTCCACCAAAGGCAAAGTCTCTCGGGATCCGGCGTCCGACTGAGGGTACACTGGGGACCAAGGGTGCACCCCTGGGAAGAGCGGAGTCAGACCCAGGTGTGCGGGAACGCCGGTGACTGCTGGGGCCTCCTCCGGGGCCGGGAGTGCGGGTTCGGTTCTAGCTTTCACCCCTCCTTCCTCCATCTGCACTGCCCCCTCCGCAGATAAACCCCAGCCCCTCCCCCGCCCGTCCCCAGGATCTGACGTGGTCGACACCTTTTCCAGCTTCTCCCTCCCGCAGCTCTAGTGCCCAAGCTTCGGCTCTCCGGGTTCTGCAACCCTTTCCCTCCCCGACAATCCCCGCTAGAGCCCAGTAGGTCCCTCCCAGTCCTCACGCCACCCTCGGGCCCGGAAGCTGTCTGCCTGTGCCCCCTCCCCTGACCTGGGATCCACCCAGCCCGGTGGACCCAGGCGCCCAGACGGAGGTAACCTGCGGCCCTCCCGCCCCCACCCCCTGCAGCTAGAACCGCGCCCCCTCCCCAGAGCGAGGACAGATACTGAGCCGAGGGGTGGACTCCAGGCGATCCTGCCCCCATCCCAAGGGGCAGAGAAATTGTCTTCTTTTACGGACCCCCTAGCAGGGAAGCAAAATCAAAGGGAAAAATAAAAGGACACGGAGGAAAAGTGGCCACTAGATTATTTAGGAGAGGCACAGAGGACCGAGATCGGGGTGAGTCGCCATGGGGACTCCCAAGGCCCAGCACCCGCCGCCTCCCCAGCTGCTGTTCCTAATTCTGCTGAGCTGTCCCTGGATTCAGGGTAAGGACGTGAGGGTGTCGGGGTGGCCTCAGAAGGGCCCCACGGGGTCCTCTACCTTCTTCCTCCCAACAGCCTGGCCCTTCTGAGCTGGGGGGAGGGGCGCGGCTGACCGCGAAGGGGACCGAAAGGTCTCTCCGTGTGTGCCTAGGGCCCTCAGCCCCTGATGTTGAGAAGGAGGGAAAGGAACGAACGAACGGGGGAATTAAGCAGCACCTTAGGAGTTAAATCCAGGAAGAAGGGCTGGGGAAGTTGGGGGTGTCTGCAGAGGCGGCAGAGCATGCTAGGTACCCGGGTGGAAGATGGAGGTGCTGGAGAGATGCAGCACGGCACACAAATGCTCTTGGACATATGGACAAAGACAAATGAACAGAGCCAGTCTCAGAGAGCAGATTTCAGCCTCTCACTGCCCTCTGACCCCCAGCCAGGCTCTGGCGACGGAGACGGGGGGCGGGGGGCAGCTACACTGCAGAGACGAAACCCAGTGAGAGAAAGCGGGGCGCTGCAGAGGCAGGGCTGGGAGGCGCTGCCAGACCCTCCCTCTGCAGAGCTCCAGGTCTTGAGAGCCCCGCTGAGGGTTGAAGGAGGGCTGCTCCCCGCTGGCGCTGTCCGAGGTTCCTAAGAGCTAGGTCCTTACTGAAAGGCCCACACCGGGGGGCGGGGAGGGGGTCCGGACCGCTGAGAGATCGCCTCTCGTCTTGGGTTTCCGCCCAGTCTAGGACACTCGCCGCCCTGTAGGCCCGGCCGGTGCAGAGCGAAGCTCTCTGCAGAAGGAGGGGATGTGGGGATCGGCTCACTGAACCTCTCCTCCTAGGTCTGCCCCTGAAGGAGGAGGAGGCATTGCCGGAGCCTGGAAGTGAGAGCCCCACGGTGGCCTCTGAGGCCCTGGCCGAGTTGCTCCATGGGGCCCTGCTGAGGAAGGGCCCAGAGATGGGCTACTTGCCGGGTAAGGCCCCACAGTGGCTGGACTGGCATGGAGGTGGTGAGAAAGGAGAGAGGAGCCAGGCCCGGAGAAGGAGCAGAGAGAAACTGCAGAAGGGAGCAAGACTCCCTACCCCACCCGAGGCCAGGAAATCCAGAGGGAGACAACTGGAGAGTCAGCATCGGGCAAGGCAGGACAGAAGTACGGACAGAACGACTCGGGACAGCCAGAGGAAAATAGAGATCGATGAGGATTCAGAGAGCTAGAGTCGAGAAATGGCGGGGACAGAGAGAGTGTAAAATTCAGAAACTGGCAGAGTCTAGTAGATCTGGAGTCATAAAATCAGAGAGCAGGAAGAATAGTAAGCAGAGAGGAAGAGCTCCAGAGGCCTCTTTCCAGAGAGACCCGGGTCTAGTGGGAGGCAGGGGCTCTCGGGGCGCTGCGGGGGTGGGGGGCCTGGGGAGGCTCGGGAAGGGGGTCAGGCTGCGCAAGTGTGGGAGCTGGCGGAGCGCTGGAGGCTGAGGGAAAGATGGGGGCTTTCGCCTAGTAAGGAGGGTGGGGTGGAGGAATCCTCCGTTTCCCTCCACCCCGCTCCCCACCCCCGCCCGCCAAAGCCTTTCCCTAACTTCCCTTGCACTCGCCAGGAGCTGAGCCAGACCCCACTCTAGCCACCCCTCCAGCCGGCCAGACTCTCGCAGCACCCTCCCTGCCCCGAGCCACTGAGCCAGGAACAGGGCCTCTGACCACAGCTGTAACCCCGCAAGGGGCCCGGGGGTCCGGACCCACGGCGCCGGAGCTGCTGACCCCGCCCCCGGGCAGCACGGCCACGCCCCCTCCCGGCCACGCCTCCCCAGTGCCGCCCCTCGGTCCCGAGGGGGCAGAGGAGGAGACCACGACCACCATCATCACCACGACGACTGTCACCACCACAGCGACCAGCCCAGGTGCGGCCATGGGAAGGGGGCGCTGTCCTGGAGCAGCGCAGACGCGGGCGAGGAAGGTGCGGCGGGGCGGGGGGCGGCGCTCTGGTGCGGAAGCGGAGGAGCTGCCCCAGCCCGCGCCCTTCCTGCAGGCCAGGCGGCGCCCTTCTGTCTGTAATGCAGTTGGGCAGGGGCCTCAGCACAGGCGGGCGGGGGACCGGATGAAGATGGCGAGGGTCTTCAGAAGGCAGATGAGGACCTGGGGCTGCCTGGAGTGGAGGGCGCGAGCACAGGGCCTTTCTCAGCCCCAGCTGCTTATCTCTCCAGTTCTGTGTAACAACAACATCTCTGAGGGCGAGGGGTTCGTGGAGTCCCCGGATTTGAGCAGCCCCAGCGGCCGCACTTCGGGGCTCCTGGACTGCACCTACAGCATCCACGTCTACCCTGGCTATGGCATTGAGATCCAGGTAACTGGACCGAAGCTCGAGACTACAGCTCCCCAACCCTTTCCTGTGGGCCCGTCCAGTGTGCACAGCTTTGGCCGGGGTCAGAGTTTGTTTCCTAACTCACGTGGGCCTGTCTTCTGACTCAGATGATCCTGAAAGCTCTCCAAGGGTTCCACAACGCGGGCAGTGTGCCTGTGGTTTGAGGGCCACGACAGAGAGGAGAAAGGAAGGCGGAGGGCAGGCCCGGGAACCGTCTTTCCCCCAGCTGATTTGCCCTGGCCTGTGTCTGGCTTCTTCAGGTGCAGACACTGAACCTGTCTCAGGAGGAAGAGCTCCTTGTGCTGGCTGGTGGGGGATCCCCAGGCCTGGCCCCCCGACTCCTAGCCAACTCCTCCATGCTGGGAGAAGGACAGGTCCTTCGGAGCCCAACCAACCGGCTGCTTCTGCACTTCCAGAGCCCTCGGGCCCCAAGGGGAGGTGGCTTCAGGATCCACTACCAGGGTGAGAATTCTGAGGGAGCTGGGAAGGGCTGGGCCACACTGGGCACAAGGGACATTTCTGGGGCCTTCCAAGCAGAGTGCAGTGGGGACCGTTCCTCCTTAATGGGGTCCTGGGGAGCGGGACCCTCAGAAGAGACTGATGCACACTTATCTCACACACTATGAGTGTGCACATATCCAAGTGGCAATTCATCCGTTCAACTCAACAAATTCTGAGCGATTGCTTTATGCCAAACCTTGTTGTTAGCCCTGAGGAGAGGAACCAATGACCCAAGCATTAATCCGACTCCAAGGAGCTCAGAATGTGGGTGGAGACAGACGAGGAATCAGGATGGTTACAGGTCACTGAGTTAAGGGCTGTAATGGAGGAGACACAGGCAGGAGGATCAAATATGAAAAGGGAACTAAATTTTTTCTAAAGACTATGGGGATGCCTTCTTGGGGGAGGTGAAGACAAAGCTGAGACCCAAGGGATGAGAGCAGGTTGGGAGGGAGAAAAGGAGGGAAGCAGCTGAGCAGATGGATGGAAAAGCACATTCCAAGTCCCGCAGAGGAAGAAAATGTCAGTCCCAGAGAGGAGTGATTCAACATGAAGATAGAATTGACCTGGCTGTGTGACCGGGGACAATTTACTTAACTTTTATGAGCTTCATGATCTCATCTGAAAAACAGGGCAAGGTGTGGTGGTGCACGCCTGTAATCCCAGCACTCAGTGAAGACCCTACCTCAAAAAACCAAAAAAATGCGAGGACCCAAGTTCGATCCCCAGTAACAAAACAAAAGAAACAAAAAAAAATGGGCTGGGGATTTAGCTCAGTGGCACCAAGCCTGCCTCACCACAAGGTCCTGAGTTCGATCCCCAGTACCAAAAACAAACAAAAGTAAGAAAAATAGGGATCAAGCTGGGCATGGTTGCCAACACCTCTAATTCCAGCCCTCAGGGAGGTTGAGGCAAGAGGATCAGAAATTTGGGCCCACCCTGGGGTGGGTAGCAAGACCCTGTCTCAAAACAAAAAATAAAAAATGCTGGGGATGTAGCACAGTGTAAAGGCCCTGGGTTTAATCCCCAGTATCTAATCATAACCATAATACTGCATGATACACTTAGGAAGATCACATGAGTTAATACACAAGTGCTTAAAACAGTGTCTGGTACACAGTAAGAGCTCAGAAATATCAATCATTTCTGTTACAGTCAAAGTACAGAAGGTGATGGGGGAGAAAGGCCCTAAGAGGCCTGGCTGGGAGGCAGGTTGGACTTGGGTCATAAGGGGCCTTACCCCTTCAGACTATTTTAACCTGCAGGTTTGAGGGAGACCTTTGACAGCTCAGATTGGTCACCTAGAAAGATCCTTTTGACTTCTGGGGACAAGGAAGGGAGGAGCTGACTGCATTCATGAGCACCCAGCCATAAGCAATGCTCGCACATGCACATGCGTGCTAACCTGTGTGCACGGGAAACTCCCCACAGTTCAAGTGTATGTTCTAGCACACACGTGTGCACGAGGCTCAGCCAGTGTCCCCAATCCAGGCAACTCCATGTGCTCCTTGGAAACAGGAGCCTGCGTGCTGGGCAGTGTCCCCTTCCTGTCACGTTAGGGCTTCACCTGGCTTCGGGCACCCTGGCCGCCGTGGGAGCCCGGTGCCCCAGATGCCCTGCGCATCTTGTCCAGGACACAGCTCGTGCCTTGAGTCCTGCCCACCCTTTCCTGGGCCTGCGCTCGGGGTCTTCCTGGAGCCTCATCGGGCAAGGTAGAAGCCCTGGTGAGGAGGCCAGCAAGCTGGAGCATGTACTTGTGGGGAACAAGAGGCCTGGAGGGTGCAGAGCTGAGGACTGGACTTCAGATGTTACAAGAATGGATTCCCTGCTGGCTCCTTTAAGCAGTCATTTCCCTCAGGCATTGAAAATAGGACTCATAGGCTAAGTGGAACATTTGGGGAAGCCAGGTCATTGCAGCAATTGGCCTTCATTATCTGCCTTGGTTTTCCCTGCCCTGCAGCTCCTCCAGGCTCCGTTGGGACTGAAGCCCTGTCTCAGCCCTTCCCACCCTGTGCTCCCTGGAGCTGCTGTCCCAGCACAGCCTCATTAGCTTCTCTGAAAGGCCAGGCTTTTGCCAGCCCTCCCCTAGGCTCAGCAAACTTGCCCACATGCAAAGTCTCCTCCAACCCTCCTACCTCTCCCAGTGCCACCGGCTGTGGTCAGCTTCATCCAAGGTCATGTGGATTTCTCAGCCACCTGCAACTCATCAGGGAGTGGGAAACCAGATCCCCAAGTCCCCCCTCCACTCTTGTGGGGCAAGCGACAAACATGTTCTCAGCACCTCTGTGTACCGGCTGCTTTGAGTGTCTCTTATTTAATCTTCAGGCTAGCCCTGGTGGATAGGAATAATTGCCATTAATGAGGGCAATGTCTCAGTGGGGAAGTCACCTGCTCAGTCATACAGCAAATAAGTTGTGGGGCTAGAAGTAGAACTCAGGCCAGACTGTCTCCAAATTGAAGGCTGGGGATTTAGCTCAGTGGTTCCGGTGCCTGCCTTGCAAGCGCAAGGTCCCAGGTTCAGTCCCTGGTACCAAAAAAAAAGCCCCAAAAAACAAATTGGTCAGCCAGCCTAAGCTTTTATTTTTATTTATTTATTTATTTTTGGTACCCAAGAATGAACTCAGGACCTTGCGCTTGCCAGGGAGGCTCAGTGCCACTGAGCTACATCCCCAGCCCCTTTAAGCTTTTACAAGATAAGATAAACAAGTCTTTTTTAAGTCTCACAGTGACAAGAGACAGTGGTTATTGTGATGGCAAAGTTATGCATGTGAACATATACACATGGTGGCACCTGCCTGCAATCCCAGCACTCAGGAGGCAAAGGCAGGAGGATTGCAAGCTCTAGCCCAGTCTGGGCAAACTTAGCAACACCTTGTCTCAAAAAAATAGAGAAAATTGTGTATAGGTAAGAGAACAATTAAGTATTGGAGACAGCAGGGTCAGGTAGGCTTCCTGGAAGGGGTAGGATTTCAGTTACTCTTTGAAGGATGAGATAGAGCTCAGAAGGCCCTTACAGATACAGATCTGGATGTAAAATATATATATATATGTACACATAGAGCGAGGAGAGACAGTAAAAGGAGCCACAAAACAGCATAGAATATATAGGTCTCAGATGTAGACCACTAAAGTGCTGGGCTGACCCCAGCTGTGAAAGGAGTTTAACTGTCAAGCTAAAAGCACTCAGACTTGATTTCTTTGACCACGGAGGGCCAACACAGGGGTTAACATTTACTGAAAGCACTAGAAACTTCCAGAAGGTTGTTTCCGTACCCGTCTGCAGACTGTAGAACCCTGAACAACAAGGCCTGGGTCCTTATTCCCTCTGTCCCAATAGCCCAGCCAAGGAAATGCTTGTTGAATTTTGAAATCTGGAGGAAAGCAGCTCTTACAGAGTCGCTGCAGATGGCAGATCCAAGGGCAATAAACCTGGGCAAGCTGCTGTCTCCACACCCTCTGCCGGCCAGAGCCTGCCCTCCTGTGCGGGGTTTGGAGGTTCTGGCAGGGGAGCACCGCAGCGGGTGTGCCCTTGACCAAAGCGGGTCCTCTTCCTCAGGGAGGCTTCTCTTCCACCGGGAAGGACATGCGGGGAGTGCCTAGGCAGGAAAGGGACACCCACCCAGCCGGCCAGATCAGCTGAGTCAACCCTGGTGAGCAATAGGTTGGCGCAGATGTGGAAGCCAGGTTGGCTGGAATCCAAGAAGCTCTTTTTTTTTTTTTGGTACCGGGGATCGACCTCAGGTCCTTGCACTTGCACAGCAGGCGGCGAAACCACTGAGCTAAATCCCCGGCCCTGAGGAAGCTCTTCTTGATGAACTCCGCCAGGTCCTGTCAGGATCAAGTTCAGAGCTTTTCTAGGGAATGGTTATTTGAGTTTTTAAAAAAGGAATGTCAATGGACAGGGTATTGTTGCTTGGGACAAGTTTTAATCTGATTCCGAGCTACCTGACAGCCGGTGCAAAAAGGGAGGTTACACAGTTCTCACTGCAAGAAGACAAAGCAGTTTCTCAATGAACGCAAAGTTTTTCCCAGCACTTCATTTTCACTAGGGGATTCATTTAGGGAACACTGAATGTTAATGTCTTCAGTGACAAAATAATCAGTTTCTGATGCAGCTTTATGTGGCTGGCCTGACTGAAAGCTGAAAGTAGTGGTCCTCTGTGGAAGTCTCAGAGGAAATGCTGAGTCGCTGAGTAACGTGGAACCTGTTTCCACACCTGCCTTTCTCTGCCTGCCTCAAATGCACTCCACGGACTCACTTGGGAAGTTGGACACACACTGCAAATACTATGGCCTGTTATCAGAGCTTGATGGAGTTCAGGGGAGTCAACTGATTGGCCCAAGGTCCTATGGCCACTGAGGACTAGGTCCAGAATAATTTCTTTGAGCCTCAGTTATCTCATCTATAAACAGGAGCCAAACTGGGTAACTTACAAAGACGAGAGGAGAGGATGGGTGTGCAAATTTCCTCCTCGAGAGACAGCGAGCTGCGTGAGGAGCATGAGGAGCGTGTGGGGGAGGAGGGTTGACACGGGACTGGCATTGACTTGAATGTCCCCTCCGCCCGCCCTGCGGTCCAGCCTACCTCCTGAGCTGCGGCTTCCCACCCCGGCCGGCCCACGGGGACGTGCGTGTGACAGACCTGCACCCCGGGGGCACCACCGCCTTCCACTGTGACTCAGGCTACCAGCTGCAGGGTGAGGAGACGCTCATCTGCCTCAATGGCACCCGGCCGGCCTGGAGCAGTGAGCCCCCCAGCTGCGTGGGTAAGTCTCCTGCCACGGCTGGGGGCTTCTGTCCTAGGAACCTCATTGGGGTCCTGCCTTGGGGGGTCTCCATTTCTGGGGAAAGCCATCCTGAATATGGTTTTATTCTGAAGAGGCCCCATCCTCGGGTCTCTACCCATGGCAGCCTCTGTTTTGGGCTACCCCACCTAGGGGTCTGTCATCTCAGAGGAGACTGTTTTCAGGGTTCATAACTGAGGGTCCTGTATCCTAACAAGTCTGTCCAGTGAATCTCCCCTCCTACAGTGTCTTCACTCGGAATCCCACCATGAAGCTTTCCTATCAGAGGGTTCCCAGGGGCCCCTAACCCCGGCCCAGGGTGTCCCCACCCAGGGTCTCTGTTAGAGCAGAACCTCCACCTGGGGGCGTCCCTCCTGGGGGCCCTTCTCAGGGCTGGCTCCCTTCCTGGGTGTGGGCTGGGGAAGGTCCTGTCCCCGAGGTGAGCATGGAGCAGAGGCCATCCCTGGGCCAGTCCGGGTTGAAGATGCGGCTGCACTCGAGCTGCCTTCATCTGCTGTCCTCTGCCCGCAGCATCCTGTGGAGGCACCATCCACAATGCTACCCTGGGCCGGATCGTGTCCCCTGAGCCCGGGGGAGCGGTGGGGCCCAATCTCACCTGTCGTTGGGTCATTGAAGCCGCTGAGGGACGCCGGCTACACCTGCACTTTGAGAGGGTCTCGCTGGACGAGGACAATGACCGGTGAGTCTGGGCCTCAGGTGCAGTGGTGAGACAGACCTGCAAGGGAGCTCTGCTGGGATGTGTGTCGCAGTCTAGTCCTAACCCTCTAAGGAATGTAACTGTGCAGTCTTAGATGAATCAGGAGCTCCCTGCCTCAGTTTTCCCATCTGTAGAGTGGAGATAACATACCTCTCTAAATGCATAATTAATAAATGCATTAAAACATGTAAAGTACTTGAAATAATGCCCAGGACATAATTGCTACAGAAAGGTTTGCTGTCATCATCATCATCATCATCTTTGCTGGTAGGTTTTTTAATGACATCTTCAATTTCATTGGCTGATATTGGCTTATTTAGAATTTCTGTATCTTCTTCATTCAGCTTTGGTAATTCATCTGTACCTAGGAATCTGTCTGTTTCCTTTTTGTTTTCCGTCTTATTAGAGTACAGGTTCTCAAAATAGCCACTGATGATCTTCTGGATTTCTGCAGGATCTGTTGTGATTTCACCCTGTTCCTAATTGCATGGATTTGAGTCTTTTCTTTCCTTTTTTGATAGGGTTGGCTAAGGGTTTGTCAATTTTATTTAATCTTTCAAAGAACCAACTCTTTGATTCATTGATTCTCTGTACTGTTCTCTTAGTCTCCACTGCATCAATTTCTGCTCTGATCTTTGTCATTTCCTTCCCTTGTACGAGCTTTGGGCTTGAGTTGCTCTTCTTCTTCTAAAAGCTTGAGGTTCAACATTAGGTTATTTGAGCTCACTCTGTTTTTCTGATAGGGGAATTCACCATTATAAATTTCCCTTATAATGACTGCTCTCATTGCATCCCATCAGTTCTGGTATGTTGTATTTGCATTATCATTTAACTGTAGAAACTGTCTAATTTCTTCTTTAATTTCATAAGTGACCCATTGGTTGTTCAGGAGGGTGTTATTTAATTTCCATGTATTTATGAAGTTCTTGTGGTTTCTTTTGCCATAGATTTCCAGTTTCATTGCACTATGGTTTCATAATATGCTTGAGATAATTTTAATTCCTTTGCATTTACTGAAGCCTGCTCTCTGAGCTAGTATGTGGTCCATTTTGGAGAACGTCCCATGTGCAGCTGAGAAGAATGTGTGTTCTGATGTTGTGGGGTGGAACTCTCTGTAGACATCTACTATGTCCATTTGTTCAAAAGTTTGGTTCAGGGGCTGGGGATTTAGCTCAGTGGTTCCGCCGCCTGCCTTGCAAAGAGAAGGACCCGAGTTCGATCCCTGGTACAAAAAAAAAAAAACCAAAAAAAAGTTTGGTTCAGTTCTGATATTTCGGGCCGGGGATTTAGCTCAGTGGTTTCACCACCTGCTGCGTAAGCGCGAGGACATGAGTTTGATCCCCGGTACCCAAAAAACAAAACAAAACAGTTCTGATATTTCTTTGTTGATTTTTTTTGTCTAGTTGACCTATTTGTGACAGTGGGGTATTGAGGTCTCTCATTACAATTGTATTAATCCTTATTTGATTTTTCATGTCCACTAATATGTTTTATATAATTGGGTGCAGTGATACTTGGTGTATATATATTTATGATTATCTCTTTCTTTTGGATTGTTCCCTTTACAGGGACATAGTGACCTTCTTTGTCTCTCTTAATTAATCTTGGCTTGAAATTCACTTTGTCTGCAAATAGAATAGCTACCCCTGCTTTTTTCTGGGTTTCTGTCACATAGAGTATTGTTTTCCACCCTTTGACTTTCAGTCTATGAATTTGCTTTTGAATTGTGTTTCTTGTATGCAGCATATTGTTGGATCTCGCTTCTTGATCCATTCTACCAGTCTGTTTCTGTTGATTGGTGAATTGAGACCATTTACACAGATCGCTATAACTGATATGTACTGACTTATCTTTGTCATGTTATTTTCCTGTTGTTGGTTCCCTTTTATCATCATCATCATCATTTTTACCTAACAACCTGGTAATCCAGCTCTGCCACTACTTGCTCTATGATCTTAGGATGCTTCATCTTTCTATACCTCACTGTCTTCATCCATAAAGTGAGGGATAATAATGGTGTCTGACTCGAGAGCACCTGTGAAAACCTAACGAGATAAAATGTGCAAGGGGGAAGAAGAATGCACCCTATATGGTAATGTTTGCTAGTGAGAGCTACAAAGATCAGTGAGGAAAGCAGCCAGAGGCAAGGCAGCTTTGGCGGGGAAGCAGCTCCTGTCATCCTCTGTCCGTTGCAGGCTGATGGTTCGCTCAGGGGGCAGCCCCCTGTCCCCTGTGATCTATGACTCCGACATGGACGATGTCCCAGAGCGCGGCCTCCTCAGTGACGCCCAGTCCCTCTATGTGGAGCTGCTCTCGGAGACGCCTGCCAACCCCCTGCTGCTCAGCCTCCGATTTGAAGGTAGCCCACCCACTTCCCCTCTGGGCCCCACCCAGGCCTCTCCCTGGGCAGACACATTCACGAGTGAGTCCTGCCCTCCTGCTGGCTCCGTGGTTGGCTCTCCCAAATCTGACTTCCTTCTCCACCCCAAAACTACAGAGATCACTGCTTACGGACCCTTTTCACTCCGTGACTGCCATTTCTAACTAAGCTTCATGTACGAGGTATGGTTGAAAAATATTGTGAATGTTTAAAACATTTTAAAAAATTTATTACAGTAAAAAACACATGGCCTCTAATTCCCCTCAAAATACTCCCTCTCATTTTGAACATACTTATCTCAACATTCTTGCCACTTTCTGATGCAGTTCCGGAAGTCCTCTTTCATGAGTTTCTTTAGTTGTGCTCCCGTGGCTGCTTTGATGTCCTGAATCCATTCAAAAGATTTGCCTTTAGTGCTCATTTTGATTTGAGGGAAGAGCCAGAAGTCACATTGCCAGGTCTGGTGAGTGAGGTGGATGAGCTGCCTTTCTGTTGGATGGCACTTGGCAGAAGCATTCACTATATTTTTTTCACACCTCATAAAGACACAAATGAGGACTCCACAACTGCTTCACAAAATGATAAGAATGATGGGATAAGTGTGCTTGAAGGTAGGGGGATATTTAGGGGGATTAATGGCGATGTCTTTTTATTTTTTTATGTTTTGAGACAGGGTCTTGCTCTGTAGTACAGGCTATCCTTGAGCTCACTATGTAGCCCAGGCTGGCCTCCAACTCACAGTGATCCTCCTGCCTCAGCCTCCTGAGTGGTGGGATTACAGGCGTGCACCACCATGCCCGGCTAATGGCAATGTCTTTTTTTTTTTTTGGCAATGTCTTTTAATTTAAACATTCACCATATATTTTGATTACCCCTTGTATGGTTGGATCTGGGTCCCCAGCTGGGGACCAGGTATCTCAGTCCTGCTGTTCTTTCTGGAGTGCTGGCTTCCTTCCCTAGCAGGCTTCCCCATGTGATGGGCCTGGCTGCAGACTTACACACAGCAACACAGTGACTCCACTGGGGAGCGGGAAAGCACATGTGTTTCCTGAGCACTTGGCAGCAAGGCCAGAAAAGGCCCCTGACCCAGCTAAGGTCCTGCGCCTCTGTCTGGGCCAATCACCGTGGCTGCTGTCGGTGAATCTGTCACACAGCAGCTGAGCCCTAAGCACCAGATGTAGGGAGGGCGCGGCCCCCCAAAGGAATACAGGGGGTCCTCTTGCTGGAAGAATGGGGAATGGGTACCGGGCAGGTAGAAAGGACCAGGTTAGTGTTCATGGGAGAAGCAGCATTAAGCATGGCCTTACAGGATGGAGGATGATTTAGAAGCGGGAGCCTGAGAGAACAGCTCTAGTGAAGGGCTCAGTGTGAACAAAGGTGAGAAGTAGAGAAGTGCCTGGGATGTTTGAGAAGTGAGCTTTCACTGTGGCTGGAGTACAGGATTTGTATAGACAGTATCAGGAGAAAGAGAAAGAAAAGAAAGCCCTCAGAGAGGGTAACTGGTTTCTGCTATGGTTTGTGGGAGAAATGGAAGTGGCACTGGGCCCTGATGGGTGGGCAGGATTTGGACCTGGCACCTTCTCAAGCTAAGTAACAAACAGCCGCTCTGCAGAAATACAGTGCTACAGAGCAAAGCTCACTGCCTCTGGGGAGGATCCCGCCCCCAGCTGTGATGCTGCCTCCACTGCTCTGGGAGTGCAGGCTTCTCCCCTGCATCACAGGCCCTGAAGTCGCACCTCAGAGGTAGTTTTGCAGCTAAGATGCATTCAGGTGGACAGAAACTAAAATGCTCCACCAATATTCATTGTTTTTTTTTAGACTAGTAATATCTTTATTTTATTTATTTATTTATTTATTTATTTATTTATTTACTTTGGCGGGGGGTACCGGGGATCGAACTCAGGTCCCTGCACTTGCACAGGAGGTGGCGAAACCACTGAGCTAAATCCCCGGCCCTCCAATATTCATTTTTGCTGACTGGGTCCAAAGTAAAAACTGAGCAGCTTTTGCACTGGCTGCAGTTTTGCATTCTAGCAACAGCATGGATTATCAGGATCCAACTGTTATTGGGAGGAGGGAACTCACTACGCAAACCAGCTCTCCGAGGCTCCACTGCACAGTCTCCACAGCATGTCTGTCTATGGCTGGGAACTGACCATCTGGTTGGGACGCCTGGTTCTGCCACTGCCTGCTAGGTGACCCTGGGCTTTGTGTCTGAGGATCCTCTCACCATTGTGGCTAGGGCTGGACCAGCCTAGGGTTCCCCTCAGGGGCCAGCAGGGTAACAGAAGTGTGTGAGTGAGGAGTGTTCAGGTTTTTGACAAATGAGAATGAAAGCTAAGCTCAAGGGCACTGTGTCTTTAAATCCTCAGGGTGTGCCCAAACAACACCTGAATTCAGCCCCAGCCCCATCTGAGAGGCTTATTTCCCTTTCTGTGCCTGATTCTTCCCTAGCCTTTGAAGAGGATCGCTGCTTTGCTCCTTTCCTGGCACATGGCAATGTCACGACCACAGACCCCGAGTACCGCCCAGGGGCCCTGGCCACCTTCTCATGCCTCCCAGGATATGCTCTGGAGCCCCCAGGGCCCCCGAACGCCATCGAATGTGTGGATCCAACAGAACCCCATTGGAATGACACAGAGCCAGCCTGCAAGGGTGAGCCTGACACCCCATGCATCTGGCAGCCTGCAGACTGTCCATCACCCCCCAACCCCAGCAAGGCCATTGCGGGAGACCGACATGCACACCTCAGAGACCCAGGCTGTGGGCAGACCCTGTCCATTCAGGGACTGTTTTCTTAGTCAAATAATACTCGGGCATTTTACCGAATTCAGAGGTCACAAATCTGAATATCTTCAAGAGCTAGAACTGGAGTTGGGCTAAACTGGATTGGGCAGGTAAAGTGGAGAGAGGGTGGGGTTAATTAGGAATAGGGCAAGGGGCCCAGGGATTTAGCTCAGTGGTTTTGCCACTTGAAGCGCAAGGACCTGAGTTTGATCCCCGGTCCGCCCCCCCCCCCAAAAAGAATAGGGCAAGGGATTGGGCACAAGACCTAGATGTGGCAAGAATCACGTGGTGACACACGCCTGTAATCCCCAGCCCTTTGGGAGGCTGAGGCAGGAGGATTGAAAGTTCTAACTCAGCCTGCAAGTTAGAAATTTAGGGAGGGGCCGGGGATTTAGCTCAGTGGTTTCACCACCTGCTGCACAAGCGCAAGGACCCGAGTTCGATACTCGGTACCAAAAAAAAAAAAAAAAAGAAAGAAATTCAGTGAAAATCTGACTCAATATTTTTTAAAATGTTAAAAAAAGGAGGGGGTGCTGGTGAGAACTGTGGTGAGGGGCCTAAACCAGACACTGCTTCTTCCCTAGCCATGTGTGGTGGGGAGCTGTCTGAGCCCGCTGGTGTAGTCCTCTCTCCCGACTGGCCCCAGAGCTACAGCCCGGGCCAGGACTGCGTGTGGGGCCTGCATGTCCAGGAAGAGAAACGCATCTTGCTGCAGGTGGAGATGTATGTCTGGGCCGCACGCAGGGTGAGGTGCGGGAGTGGGTGGATGTGGGATAGGACCGCTTTCCAGCCTGGGTCCACAGAGGTTCGCTGGATATGCAGTTCGGTCATTAAACCAGGATGGGGTGGGAACGATCGGTGCAAATCACGCAGTAGCCAGGCGACCTTGGACAAGTAGAGCGATAATGCGGGGGTGGGGGTGGGGCTACTGAGAGGGAGGGGTCTGGCCTGGAGGCCGTCACCCCGGGGCTTCTGAGGCTGCCCCTGAAGCGGCTGCCAGGGGAACCCAAGGCCCAAAGCGTTGGATCATCACCAACATCCCAGGTGGGCGTGGGTGCAGGGAGAACTCGGGGGGGGGGCGCCCTGGGTAGGAGGCGGTCACGTGACTGGACACAACCAGAAGTGGGTGTGGCCAAAAGCAGGTAGGAAGGCGGACCTGGTCGTGTACTGGATGGTGAAGTCTGATTGGTCAGAGCCGGGGGCTTCCCGAGGAGATGAAGGAGGGACTGGGGAGTGGGACAGCGAGCAATACAAAGGGCTGGACCTTGGGGAGCGGAGGGACCCTCCGCAGGACTGAGGCAGTTGGGGGAAGGAGGAGTGGGTTAGAAAGACGAGAAACTCAAGATGGGTTAAAACGGGACCCTGGCGGGCGGGGCAGAGTCGGGATGGCCGATGGGGGCGCTGCCTCACCCTGCGCCCCGCCCGCAGTTTGAACGTGCGCGAAGGGGACGTGCTGACCCTGTTCGACGGCGACGGGCCCAGCGCCCGCGTCCTGGCCCAGCTTCGGGGGCCTCAGCCGCGCCGCCGCCTCCTCTCCTCCGGGCCCGACCTCACGCTGCAGTTCCAGGCGCCCCCCGGGCCCCCCAGCCCGGGCCTGGGTCAGGGCTTCGTGCTGCACTTCAAAGGTACGGAGGCGCGGAGACCCCGGGCGGCGGGGGCGGGGCGAAGGTCCCACAGGGGGCGCTGGGCCTCGGGCTCGGGCTCGGGCTCGGGCGGCGCCCGCACTCAGCCTGTCTCCCGCAGAGGTCCCGAGGAACGACACCTGCCCGGAGCTGCCGCCCCCGGAGTGGGGCTGGAGGACGGCGTCTCACGGGGACCTGATCCGGGGCACGGTGCTCACCTACCAGTGCGAGCCGGGCTACGAGCTGCTGGGCTCCGACATCCTCACCTGCCAGTGGGACCTGTCCTGGAGCGCCGCGCCGCCCGCCTGCCAGAAGAGTGAGTAGCCGCCCGGCCTGCGCCTGCGCCTGCGCCCTGGCCTCCCACGTCTCAAGCGCTCGCGGCTCGAGGCTGCTCCGCCCTGGGCCTCCTCTCCGCCCCCGCCCCGCCCCCGTTCTCCGCGTTTGAGGTCCTAGGAGCCACTTTGCTAGGCCAAGGGTTGGTTCGTTTGGCTGCAGTTAGAGTGGGGAGCTACGGGAAGGCCGTGCTCGGCACACTGACCACGCACACAGCCTGGGAGGGGACAGACACCCGGACAATGGGGTCCTGACCTTAGCGTAGGGGACTGTGGCCAAGGGCCTTACCGTCTTGAGCCGGGTGAGGGAGGACTAAGCGCGGAGATTTCCGCCCAGTGCCTGGTATAACCAGGTGGGCGGCAGGCGCCCTGAAGCAGGAGGGTAGGCTCGTCCTCTTCGGACAGACGGTGCAGGGTGCAGGGAGTTCAGAGGAGGTGACATGTACCGGAGCTGGACGTGTGGGTCTCTTAGAAGAAAAGAAAGAGGCAGGAGGATCTCGTCACGGTCTCCGTATTTCGGGAAGCCTGACACAGTCAGGACCTGGGGTTGTGGCTCTTCCACATGCCCCTTGGGAATCGTGGCGCGGGTGGGACCAGCTGGAGAAGTTTTCGGAAACCAGACGCAGGAACCATCTGGCAGGCCCAACTCTGGCCTGCAGCTGCCCAGCTGAGGCCCGGAAGGGGACCGGCGACACGTGGAACCTGACGCTCAGGGACCAAGTCTCTGACTGCCCTGGTACAGCCGGGACCCTGAGCAAGTTCCTCTCTGCTGCTCCTCGCCTGAGTGCTGAGCCCTCAGCCCCAGGAAATGACAGTGACATTGACCTCTTAGGATAATCTGGGTGAAATACTATGTTTGTAAAACCTTTAGCAGGGTGCCTGGCACAGGTGCAATAAATGGCGATGGTTATGCCCTTCCACAGCAGGGTGTAGACCCACTTGCCTGGAGGGGCAGGCCATGCTGTGCATGCAGCCCAGGGGGCCAAGCTGGCCTTCTCTGGTTCGGTGATACCCAGGGTGGGGGCCTGGGTTTGTCCTATGCACCCTGTTTTCCAAAAGAAGTGTGAAATATAAAGCACCCTGAATTTCAAGTTTGTCCCATCCTAGGAAGTGGTGGTGGCGGGGGGAGGGTCACCCAGAGATAGCTGAGGCTCAGGCGGTCCCCAGCTCTAAGTTTCTGGGAGATCTTTGAAGGCTCTTGCTCTTCTGTCACCAGTCATGACCTGTGCTGACCCCGGAGAGATCACCAATGGGCACCGGACTGCCTCGGACGCGGGCTTTCCCGTGGGCTCCCATGTGCAGTACCGCTGCCTGCCAGGGTACAGCCTGGAGGGGGCAGCTGTGCTCACCTGCTACAGCCGAGACACGGGCACACCCAAGTGGAGCGACCGGGTCCCCAAGTGTGCCTGTGAGTCCAGACACACCCAGGAAGGGGCTGGGGAGCCTTGGGGGAGCCTGGCAGCAGCACAGCCAGCAGGTGACCAGTGCCTCCCTGCAGTGAAGTATGAGCCATGCCTGAACCCCGGGGTCCCGGAGAATGGCTACCAGACACTGTACAAGCATCACTACCAGGCCGGGGAGTCTCTGCGCTTCTTCTGCTACGAGGGCTTTGAGCTTATCGGCGAGGTCACCATCACCTGCGTGCCCGGCCACCCCTCACAGTGGACTAGTCAGCCCCCACTCTGCAAAGGTGCCTGGGCGGGCAGGGAGTGACAGGGCTGGGAAGGCTGTGTAGAAGAGTTGGGACATGTGGGTGATGGCTGCCCTTCTGTGGGCTGTTATCCTCGCAGGCATGTCTAGAAGCCCAGGGGAAATGTGAGGTCCCAGAATTGTACTGAGGAATGCAGCAGAGGGGACCTTGGTTTGGAATGCCCTTGCCCTCTCTGAATAGGCCTCAGTGTCCCGCCCTCTGACAAGGGCAAGAACTTAGAGCCTCAATCTAGGGGTCTGGAGAAGGAAGAAGGCCCTGCTCTGATCAGCCCTAAGGGAAGGATACAGCTTAGGTTGAGCAGAGGGCAGATGACCAGGCTGTCCAGCCCCGCCCCACCCCACCGGGCTCCGGCCCTCTCCTGGGCTCCAGCCCTCTCCCAGCCTCCTTCCCTCCCTGGCTCAGACCCCGTCCCCTCCCCCTGCTCTCCCCGCAGTGGCCTATGAGGAGCTCCTGGACAACCGAAAACTGGAAGGTCAGTGAGGGCACAGGTGGAGACCCAGGCCTGGCCAGGTCGGGAGGGCAAGGCAGAGGCCTGGGGCAGGAGGCCAGGCCCCGGGGTGAGGCCCAGGGTTCAGGGCCCAGGGCAGGAGGCTGGGAGAGCCGTGTCCAGGCCCAGCCTCGGCTCACTGGCCTCTCCTCCTCCCCAGTGACACAGACTACAGACCCGTCACGGCAGCTAGAGGGTGGGAACCTCGCCTTGGCCATCCTGCTGCCCCTCGGCTTGGTCATCGTCCTCGGCAGTGGCGTTTACGTATACTACACCAAGTGAGCACCCTGGGGACCTACCGTGCCCAGGAGCCTGGGCAAAGGGCACTCAGGCTCACCACCGATAAGCCCATCTGTCCCTCCTTTTCCAGGCTGCAGGGAAAATCCCTTTTTGGCTTTTCTGGCTCGCACTCTTACAGCCCCATCACCGTGGAGTCGGACTTCAGCAACCCACTGTACGAAGCTGGGGTGAGTCCCTTCCCTCCCCGGGTGCCACGGCTCCGCCCTCAGGACTCCATAGCTGTCTCTCAAGGTCTCTGTAATCCCTTCTCGAGAATGTGAACTCAGCTGCCCACAGAGGCTAAATCAGTGAGCAACGCAACCATGCCGAGCACTGGGGAGCGCTGAGGACAGTGGCTGATAGGAGGGCTCGTGTCCCATCTGAGGGACACCGCTCTAACCCACAGTGGGCACTGGCCCACTACCAGACCTCCCACTTGTTCCAGAAAGTCCAGAAATTCAGATTTCTTCTATCACTTTCAGACACTAGAATGAACCAAACACCCACTGTCTGAACTCAGCCCCATCCTCACTCCGTGACTCCGTCCAAGGGTCTCTCTCCTTGCGGATCCCACTCCCATTCCAGCTCCAGCTCACTGCTGATCTGTTCTCTCCACCTTCAGGACACACGGGAGTATGAAGTTTCCATCTGAACGCAAAACCAGGTCTACAGGACCCAGGACACCCACCCCTCCTCATTCAGGGCAGCGGGAGCACAGGGCCTCATCTCTGCTCCTGGCTTCCTTTCTCCCTGCTGTGTACATAGTCGCCCCATCCCACAAGGGAGCTGTGATGACCCTGAGACCCTACAGTAAATAAACCAGCATCCTGCGGCCCAAAGCCTCCTCTTCTCAGTTGTCAGACGAGGGCCTGCCCCACCCTGCTGGCTTTTGGACCCTGGGAGGGAACTGGGCTCCCTTGCAACTCTGCCCCTCCAGCCCAGGGCTCCCTCCCCAGGGGCTGCCCCTGAGGCACCACTGTTCCCTTGGCTGTGAGGGCCCCTCCCCTCCCTGATGCCTGAGTCCCAGCCTCGGGTGGGAAAAGAGGGGTGAAGAGGGAGCTGGGCCAAGGTCCCCCCTTCTGCGGTCTCCCCAGCCCACGGTCTCTCCACCTTTGCTTCTGGAGTTTTTTGTTTTCGAGCAATAAATGGAAAATCACCACTTGTAACTGGGATGGTGGGGTGTGGGAAGACAGAGTGTCGGAGACCATGGTGGGCATCTTCCCTGGAGGTAGGCTGGGGAGGGGAACTGGCGGGAGAAGAGGTGGAAATCCATAACCAGCCCGGCTGGGCAATGTCACGTGCCGGCCTTCATCACAAGCCCTGGCTTTAGGCTCGGCCTCTGGGAGGACTGACTGGGACAGCTCTGCCCCGGGTCTTGGCACTGCCAGGTACCTGCAGCTGGGACAGCTGACAGTGGCCTCCCTCCCCGTCACTGTTTGGCAGCAGCAGCCAGCTTTGTTATTTCATGGACAGTTCCATGAAAGTTCCCAGGATTCCACAGGTCTCTCTCAAGAACGTCCACCTCCTTTTGAGAACTTTTGTTCTCACTCAGATGCACCATTCTGCCCCATCTAAATTCTTGGCAACTGCTGTTACACATCTACCAAGTATGAGCCAAGGTGTCCTCTCCTATAGTGTTCAATAAACTTGAATATGATAAGCAGTTTACTGCTGCACACACACCAAGCACGTACTCCACCACTGAGCCTGTCTGAAGGGTATTTCTTGAAATTAACTGAATTTTACTTAACAAAATTATACATTAAAGTTCAACTGAACATGTTATGTTTAAGACAGTGAAGGGATGATTGGATACTCAAGAAAGGGGTGAATTTTAGGAGAACATGAGGCCTACCATCAGAATCAGAATAGTTTAAATTCCTTTTTTGTTTTGTTTTTTTGGTACTGGGGATCGAACTTGTGACCTTGCACTTGTGAGGCAGGTGCTGGAACCACTGAGTTAGATCCCCAGCTTTTGCTTGTTTTGTGAGATGGGCTCTCACTATGTATTCCAGGCCGGCCTTGAACTCACTGTAACCCAGGCTGGCCTTGAACTTTCGGCAATCCTCCTGTCTCAGCCTCCAGAGTGCTGGGATCACAGACGTGCACCACCACACTTGGTTTTAAATTCCTCTTTAAGCCATGCTCTGTTAAGCACTTTGCATGCAACAGAGTTTTTGTTTTGTGGTACTGGAGATTGAACCCAGGGAGCATTGAGCTACATCTCTAGCCCTTTTTATTTTGAGACAAGGTCTTACTAAGCTGCTCAGGCTGGCTTTGAACTTGACATCCTCCTGCCTCAGCCTCCCAAGTGGCTGGGCTGACAGGCATGCATCCCTTTCTCTGGCAACATTATTTTTCTAAACCTCACAAGTGCCCTGTGAAACTGGGCCAATTTACTATTCTTTTTGGATAAGGAAACAGGCTCAGAGAGGGAAACTGACATCCTCAGGTGGCCCAAATAAGTGGCCACGCACCCCTGAAATGAAAACACCCTGAGGACTGCTGCACTGACTTCTGGCTAGTGCCGGGTGTGAGATGCTCCCCTAGACAGGAGGCCCAAAGCTCAGGGCCAGAGACCATGGCTCAGGCTCCTTGGCAACAGTAGCGGAGGCCACAGTTATTCCTCAGAAGCAAGGGTGGGGGCCCCCTCCCAGATGCCGCCCCCAGGCAGGATGGGTTTGGATCCATGAGCTCACCATGAGCTTCTAACAGGACAGACAACTGCCGGGCCAAAGCCATTCCTGTCACGAGCCCACACTCAGCATCCATATCTGGAAAAAGAGGGCTCTGCTCGTCCTCCCACACCTCAATCCCAGAGGAGCCATACCAGAGTACCAGCTGGGTGGGGGGCTTCCCAGCTCTTTATTGAAGTCTGTTCTTCTCAGCGGTGGAGACCTTGCTGGCTGGGAATGGAGTCAGGTGACAGTTCCAAGAGACTGTTGGCTTCAGAGGTGACACTGCTCAAGACCAGGAGTTCCTCTCTGCATGAAGTGCTTAATGAGTCGCCTTACCAGGGGCATTTGGAGGCGTGTTCTACAGGGACAGGATGGGGGGGGGTGGGAAGCTCAGGGCGGCACCCGGAGGCTGCTTCGAGGAGCACCCTGGAGAGCCTGAGAGCGCGCTGACTCTTTGGACTTAAGGTCCATGTGCTGTTATCCTCTGTTCCCCACCCGTCCAGTCCACGTGCCACCCATCTGCCCTGCCTCGGCCAGTCATCTCCATTTACCTACCTGTCCACCATCCTTCCTCCTCCATCCCTCCATCCTGGACATATCTGCCCATCACCCCCCCAGCCGTCTTTCCACTCATCTGTCCATCTGTGCTTCACCAGCCCACCACCCACTCATCTCTCTTCTATCTACTACTCACCCTCCTCAACTCAACCTTCTTGACAGCAAGGATTCCATCTTGCTCATGATAGCTCTAGCCCCTATGGCAGTGCCAGCACACAGAGGTCCTTAACATGCAGTCGATGAATGGCCCATTTGTGCATTTACCCATGCATGCCCTCACTGCCCCCCCAACAGTTTCTGCTAACTACAATGGCCCACAAATGAAGGAGTAACTCAAAGATCAATAGGCTTCTAGATTTTTCTTTTCTTTTCCCTTCTTTCCTCCCTCCCTCCCTTCCTTCGTTTATTCTTCCTTCCCTGTGTGCAACTGAGGACTGAAACCAGAGCCTTGTGCGTACTGGTGCTCCAACTGAGCTACACCCCCAGCACTATTTATTTATTTATTTATTTATTTATTTATTTTTGGTACCAGGGATTGAACTTGGGTCCTTGCACTGTGCAGCAGGCGGCGAAAGCATTGAGCTAAATCCCCAGCCCTATCTTTTTACTTAGGAAACACAGTGTCTTTCTTGGGTGAGAAAGAAAAGTCTCCTGGGATCGTGGAGGGCTGCAGGTGGCTGAGGGGATGTTTGCTCAGGATACAATCCTCAACCAAATGCCATTTGGGGAGGATAGTTAGGGTCCTCATAGGACATCCTGATGCGGGGAGAAGGGCAGAACTTGCACAATGCTAACTACCAAGTTAATGGCAGGTGAACTATTAAGGCCCAGGGCTCTTTGCTACTTTAAGCTGTTTCTAAGACCATCCCAGTTGACAGATCAAATGTCCCAAAGGCACACAAATTCAGCTCCTGGAGAACAAGGACAGGGGCTTATTCTCAGCTGTTATTTTGCCCCAGGTCTTGGTGATGAATCCTTGAGGCAGTGGCCCAAGCACAGAAGTGACCTTCCCCATGGCTTGCTTGGTGGACTCTGCACATCAAGAGATGCTCAATAGGGCCGGGATTTAGCTCAGCGGTGCCGACGTCTGCCTTGAAAGCGCAAGGACCCGAGTTTGATTCCCGGTACCAAAAAAGAAAAGAGATGCTCAATGAACATGTGCTGGCTGCTTGTTCCTTCTCTGGCTTCTTCCTGAGCCTCTCTCCTCTGCTGCCGACCCCACATGGAGGGTTCCTGGGGCACCACCTTCTCATTTGAGGTGCCTAAACCCTGCAGGGCAAGCACACACTCTCCCTCCAACCCCAGTTCCCTCACGATGACCTCTGGATCCTCTCACTGGCCGAGAATCGCACCGCCAGTTGCCCACAGGGCATTTCCATCTGAGTTCCCTTGAGTTCCACAAACACAAATGTGTCCAAAGGCAGGACTGAGAAACAAGGACAGCAGTTACAGGCAGCGAGGTCTGAGAGACAGTGTGGGGAGGGAATCCCCCGGGGCCTTGTAAGCACCGAAGGACACTGGCTTTTGTTCTGAGTGGGAAGCTATCGGAGTTCTGTGCAGAAACAGGAGCAGACTTTGGCTGCACAAGTCGGAAAATGGGTCATGTGATGCCCCCACCATTTCTAATCAGTTCACTTCCTGCCATCTCTGCCACTTCTGTGACAGACCAGGACCTGGTCATCTCTAACTGGGTCTCTTCAGACCAACTCCCAGATGACCTCCTCGCCTCCAGTCTCTTCCCTTCCCCGTGAGCACCAAGGGGCAGAATGAAGTTCCCACCTCCCTGCCCAGATCCCTGTGACTCCCCACCCACAGAAGAACAGCTGTGGGCCTGCACAGAGCACACATAGTCTCTCCTGATTGGGCCTGTCTACTTGGCCTACACCCTCCCACAGCTAAACTGTCCAGACGCCCTGTCCTGGGTACAAACTCCTATACACCTCTTCAGGGCTCGTGCTCACCCTGCTCTCCAGGGCTCAGACTCATCTCCGGGCCTCTGCTCCTATAATCCCTACTGCTTGGAATATTTCTACTGGTCCTTGCTTTCCTGGAAAATTCGTTTGTTTTTTTTGTGTGTGGTACCAGGGATCAAACTCAGGACCTTGTGCTTGCAAGGCAGACAGGGCACCACTGAGCTAAATCCCCAGCCCTGAAAAATTATTCTTTAGACATCACTTCCTTCAGGAAGTTCTGTGATTCCCCCTTCTGTCCCACTAGAGGTTTGGGTATAAACTGTCTTTATAGTTCTGGGGATGGAACCCAGGGCCTGGTGCATGCTAAGCAAATGCTCTACCACTGAGCTACGCCCCAGCACAAGTAGCCTTCTCATTATCTATCATGGACCCTCATCCGTATTACATTGTAACTGGCCATTCACTCGTCTTTCCTCACACTAAACACAATTCTTTTTTTTTTTTTTTTGGTACTGGGGATCGAACTCGGGTTCTTGTGCTAAACACAATTCTTCAAGGCCTGCAACTGTATCATTTATTTGTGTCCCAGCCTCCTATAACAGGCCCCGGCAAGTTGTGCGAACTCCAAAAGTCTGGCTAACATGGAACCATCTCGAGTATACCTTTTCTCGAGCGGCTGGCAGGAGGCGCGCCTTGGTGCGAGTGCAGTTTCTGTCGGAGCTGGACATGGCAGAAGAGAAGGAAGAAGGCTAAGAACTCTGACTGTGACGACCAGGTAAGAGTATAAACTGCATGGCTCAAAACTTTCCCTATCCTGTGGGATGCTGCTGTCCAGCCCTCTCACTCCCAGGACAAAGGTGTCTTCCCTGAAATACCACTCACTCACTGGGTGTCTGTTCCTCCGGTCTTGGTGAAGAACGCTGAAGAGAGGCCCAGTCAGAGAAATGTCTATCCCCTCAACCGGAAAGGGACTAAGGCAGAGAGGCCAAGGGGATTCCTGGCCACAGGGAGGGGTGGGCATGGGGTTAGTGGGGGGCACTGTGCCTCCCGCAGGCTCAGACATGTGACATGGACAGGTTCCTGGAGAGGGCAGCGGTGGCCAGAGGGGATCAGGGACTGGAACTAGGCGTGTGGCAGGGTCCTGAGTTGAGGATCACCATGTTTTGATATCTGAGTCCCTTGGTCTTTTGTCTGCTTTCGCTTGAGGGGCACAGGGTACATGTGGCAGTGAGTGATAAACAAGGCCTCTTCTGTGAGTTCAGTGCTGATCCGAGTCAGGGACTCCTCAGAACAGGACAATGAGGCCTTCAGGGGAGAGAAGTAGATGGGCTCAGCCTGGGAACTCGAGCTCAGTCAGAGGTCAGCCAGGGGCTGAGCAGTCTGGCATTGAAGGGTTGAGCCTGGGATCTGGCCAAACAGTCCCAGACCTGTGGGAACGACCTTCGGTGGCCCCCGGGCCCCAAGCTCAGGATCAAGACCAGCATCTTGGTGCTTGTGGCTCAACCCAGGCTTGGGTGGCTCTGCCCGGCAGCTCCTTACTCCGCACACTCCCACCTCCAGCACCGACAACGCTCAACCAGCCTCCACTCAAGGCCATTGCGGCCTCGGAAGGCCAGCTGTTTTCCTCCTTCTTGACAGGAGTGGATGCCATGCCCTGGGAACAAAGCCCGCGTCAGTCCCTCACTCAGAACCCACGTGTCACCATCAAGGCCCTTAGATGGAACAGTCAGTTCTCTCTCTGAAAAAAAAATTTTTGAGCCAGGCTTGGTGGTGCATGCCTGTAATACCAGCACTCAAGAGGCTGAGGGAAGAGACTCGCAAGTGCAAGTTCGAGGCCAGCCTGCGTCATTCCAGCAAAACCCCGCCCCCCATTGTTGGGGAGCTGTCCTCTCTGCTCTTGGAAAAGAGGGTTCTCACAGAACCCCTCCCCTGTTTCACCGAGAAAGCTGCTTCTTCCTCCTTTCCTCCCATGGCCCATCCCAAGCCAGGACAGCCTACTTGCCGCCGCCCACCCTCAGCAAATGGGTAGAAATCTTGGGCCCCTGGGAGGAGGGGAGAAGAGGTCTGGGGCTCCTAGTACGGGTCACCGGGACGGGAACCTGGACTTGGGGAGGAAGGCTGGAGAGGGGAGCCAGGGCGGCGCCGCTCCCGGTTCTTCTAAAACCTTAAGGTTTGCAGAGGTTCTGTAGCGCCGTTGCTAGGAGATTCGAGGCTCTAGAACCAAAGACGAAGGCATATTCGAGCCCGCCCCGTCCATCCTCTGGCCTCCCCTCAAGGTTTGAAAGTTTGGAGGATGACGCAGGACGGAGCCTGATCCCCAAGCTTCCCACCACTAGGGTGTCCTAGAAGCGAGGACACCGCCCTCCAACGAGCCAGCCGCAGCCGCTCTCGCTGCCAATTCCCCGCCCAGAGCCAGAGAGCGCAAGCGACAGAGCCTCCGGGGGCGGGCGGGCCAATGCGGACTGTACCAATCCCCCTGGTGTGCAGGGGACGCGAAGACGCGGGGGGGGCGGAGCCTGACGGCCTTCTCCAGCTACTTTTACCCTCCGTAAAAAGGGAGGTGGAGCTATTTATGCAGCCTCCTCCTCGGCTCCTCTTTCAACTCCCTCCTCTGCTCGGCTCAGAGCCGGCGGATCTTTACTCCCTCCCTCCGTCCTTGCGCTTTGGTACGAGCCGATGCCCGGAGGCGGAGGGAGGAAAAGGAAAAGGAAGCGGGCCGATCTTAAAGGGGACGCAGGTTCTTCATTTTTTTTAAACTGCTTTCTCCAATTTCGCCACGACGGACACAGAGGAGCAGGTTCCCCGAAGCCGAGCGCGGCTGGAGCAGCAGGCATCGCTGCGGGGGGGAGCGCCGCGGGCCAGGCGGGGTGTGAGGCTGCCCATCGGAAGGGCGGGTGCTGGCCCCGCGCTCCGCCCCCGGCCGGTTGCGGAGGTGGCATCTGGGGCAGCGGGGCAGGTGGCACACCAGGGCGAGGCCGGAGGTGAGGCCGCGCCGGCGGGGCTGGGACAGCGCTGGCCCCGGTGGAGCGGGCCCCGGGCGGCGCGGAGGCCGCCGCGATGCCGGGTGAAAACATCTTCCTGTTCGTGCCCAACCTCATCGGTGAGCGCCGCTGCGGCCGGGCGGGCGGGCGGGCGGGCGCAGGGCTGGGCCGGCTCCCTGAGCCCGCTCTCCCGTCCCTAGGTTACGCCCGGATCGTCTTCGCCATCGTTTCCTTCTACTTCATGCCGTGCTGCCCCCTCACGGCCTCCTCCTTCTACCTGCTCAGCGGGCTTCTGGACGCTGTCGATGGACACGCGGCCCGAGCCCTTAACCAAGGTAACAGACGCCGCTCCCGCCAGCGCGGCCCACCACCCCTTCCCTCCCTGACTGCTCAGGACCTCCGAGTCAGAGGGCTCTTCCTCCCACCTCTGCACACAGCAGAACAGAATCGCCTGGTTTTGTAGCAGAAGGAATTGAAGCTCCTCCAGGGAACTCCCCGCTTGTGAGAGGTGTGGGAGGGCAACACTGAACGTGACCTTGACATTAATAGAAGGCTCTGAGTACTTTTGCGTTCAACCGGTGTTTACTGGGGCCTGCTGTGTGCTGGGCACAGGCAGTAGGGTTCCAGAAGGAAAGGAGGGTTGACTGATACAGGCCCATCTTTTAAGACTTCCCCCTAGCTGGGCGTGTGGCACACGCCTGTAGTCCCAGCCCTTGGGAGGCTGAGGCAGGAGGATTGAAGGGCTTTCACGACCAGCCTGGGCTACATAGTGAGACCCTGTCTCCAAAAAAAAAAGACTTCCCTTAAGTCGGGGAGGGTTTCCGGGAGTCTGGGTTCTGGAGTTGAGTTGAGGATAACCCTTTCCCACCCCCTCCGACAGACAGGCTTCCCTTCACTCTCACTGCCTGTGGCGGTGACCCTCCACACTGTTCTCACACCCTCCTGGCAGCAGCCTCTTTTTCTCCCTGGGAAGTGCTCGGTGGACATTCAGTCTGCTCTTGGACTATATCAGGGTGATAGCTACATCCAGGCACTGTCTCCAATAGCCCCTTCCCACCTTTTCCAGGAACCCGGTTCGGGGCCATGCTGGACATGCTGACGGACCGCTGCTCCACTATGTGTCTGTTGGTCAACCTGGCCCTGCTGTACCCTCGGGCCACGCTTCTCTTCCAGCTCAGCATGAGCCTGGATGTGGCCAGTCACTGGCTCCATCTGCACAGGTCTGCTCTTGTTCTGGGGCCGAGCAGCTGCAGACACTGCTGAGGGCGGGTGTCTGGGACGGCTTCAGTTGCATCTACTGTGGGGTCACACAGTTCCTCAGCCCTTCTGGCTGGGTGTTCTGGGGTTCCACATGACGTGAGAACTCATCCGTGTCAGTGGTCATAAGCACTCATGGCTCCTCCCTGCTTTCTCCCCAAGCTCCGTGGTGCGAGGCAGTGAGAGTCACAAGATGATCGACCTGTCTGGGAATCCCGTGCTCCGGATCTACTACACCTCCAGGGTGAGCCCTTCCGGCCATCCCTCCCACCCTGGCCAGCCCTGGCCCCGGTGGGGGGGGGATGGGGCAGAGGAGGCCAGTGGAGGGCGGCTGTGAATCTTCTAGCAGAGGTGCTGATGGGGCCTTTGCCAACCAGGGGGAAGAACGGAGGCTGGAAGGAAGGGAGGAGGGAGAGAGAAGCCAGGGAGGGCTGTGTGAGGATGCCAAGTGTGGCCTTTGACCCCGAGCCTGGGCAGCCTCTGGGGGAGTTACCAAGTGGGGTGACCTGCTGAGATGGGCCAGTGCATGGCCCTGCCTCTCACTTGGCCATCTGTGCTCTCTGCAGCCTGCTCTCTTCACGCTGTGTGCTGGAAATGAGCTCTTCTACTGCCTGCTCTACCTGCTCAGCTTCTCTGAGGGACCGTCAGGTAGGAGGGGGGTCCCTGCCCTGTCCCTGCGCTGCCCTACTGAGGAGGCCTGGCCTCACACGCTGCTGCCTCCCACAGTGGGGTCTGTGGGGCTTTTCCAAGTGGGCTTCTGGATCACCGCCCCCATCGCCTTGCTCAAGTCTGCCATCAGCGTCGTCCACCTGGTCACTGCTGCCCGCAACATGGCTGCCCTGGATGCGGCCGACCGTGCCAAGAAGCAGTGAGCCTGGACCCTCCGCCCTCACTGCCCGGGCGTCTGGCGGTGCCACAGGGCCCCTCCCCTCCCAGGAGCCAAGTCTCACCTTCCTGTGTGGCTCTCCGCCTGGCCTGTGGGTGGGTCAGCCTGTCTCTGGTGTCACCACCATTCTGGGTCCCAGGGACCGCGCTCCACATGAGGAAGAGTTCAGAGCCCCGGCCCTTGGCGGTGCTCCAGTACGGGAGGCCTCTGAGGACCGGGCCTCGAACACCCTGCTGGCTCAGCCTAGGGCTTCCGGCCTGAGTTGGGGGCACCTGCGGGCCAGAGCTGATGCAGGGCTGGCTTCCCGAAGGCAGAGGAGTGGGACCCCTGCCCGTCCAGGGGCACCATGGCAGGGGGAAGGGGTTGGCATCCATCTGCCTGGCCCTGGAGGCTTCATAATAAAGACAGGAGCTTCACTTTTGTGGGCGTGGTTTCCTTTGAGACATTTTGGGGTCAGGTCTGGGTTGAGGGGAGCATGGAGAGAAAGGGAAATGTATCTGGATGCTTCCCCCCAGCTCTCTGGCTGGCTCCTTCGCACGTCACAGTGCACAGTGACCCTCTCAGAGGGGCCCTTCCTGCACCCAGCCTCATGCAGCCTTTCTCTGACCTCCTACATTCTGCTTTGCTTTGTATTCTTGGCCCGACTAGAGTGCGAACTCTGGGAAGCCAGACTTTTCCTCTTCCTTTCTCTGTGGAATGAAGGTTACCTTAACCTGGCATACAGTAGCTGCTTAATAAATGTTCCTGAAAAGATCAGTTGGTTTCTCAGAGTGGAGTCCTTAGATTACCTATTGGATCTTTTCTTTCATTTTAATTTTTTCATTGTGGTACTGGGGGTTGAACTGAGGGCTTTTTCACTGAGCTACCTTTTCAGCTCTTAAAGACAAAATTTTTAAAAAGTTTTATTTTATCCCATTCCTCCCCTCAAGCCCCCTCCCCTCACTATGTACAAAAGCTTTGTTTCCATTTTTCCCTTCTATTCTCACTTTTTCCTTGTCCCTTCATTCCAGATTTTTTTTTTTTTTGGAGAGGTCTTGCTAAATTGCTCAGGCTGGGCTCAACCTTGTGATCTCCTGCCTCAGCCTCTCAGAGCGCTAGGATTACAGGTGTGTACCAGACCTGGCAGGATAGTTCTTTTTTTTTTTTTTTTTTGCTTAAATTCTTTTATTGGTATATTTTAGGTATATAATACGTTTACATTTATCATTGGGTGCTTGTACCTGTACATGATATATCTTGGTTCTTATTTTTTCCCCATTACCTGTGCGCCTTTCAACCCCTCCACCCTTCCCTATAGGATAGTTCTTAAAATGTTACCACATGGGCCTTTAAGGCATGCTCTCCAGAAATGAGCCAAGAAGTCTGTAATTTTGAGGCAGGCGGTAGAACCACTGAGCTAAATCCCTGGCCCAAGTCTAATTTTGATACTCCAGGTGATCATTTTGATACTCTTCCCGGTAATGTTGAGAATCATGTTCCTTCTTAAACATTTCTGGAGCTGGGCATGGTGTCATATGTCTGTAATCCCAGTACTCAGGAGGCTGAGGCAGGAGAATTGCTGCAAGTTTGAGGCTAGCCTGAACTACAGAGCAAGACCCTTTCTCAAAAAAAAAATTTTTTTTTCTGGGGCAGCTGTCACATACCACACACTGGGCATTGTTTTAGGCCTCTGTCCCTATCCGCTATCCAATACCCCTACCACCTGAGTTTTTCTTATCTTGCACCAGATAAGTTTTTAAACTACATTGGATCAAGTAAATGCCAGATCCTGTGCTGGGGTTCTTGGCAAATGTTACTCATTTCCTCCTCATAGCTCAGCCCGGTGGCCAGGGCTTGTGTCTGGGAAAACTGAAAGTCATCAGGGGTGTTCTGGGCCTCAAATCCTGGGGGCACTGGGGAATCCTTGTGGGTGTGGCTGCCCAGCCCCTTCTAAGGAAGGTCGCCAGTGGGCTGGGCATGCGGCTTTGGTCCCAGGAAGGCACTTGTGGTGGAGGGGAGGCTGGTAGGGACTGGAAGGCTCAGCTGAGGGAGGGAGCAGCGCAGTTGGGGAAGCAGCAGAGCACCAGGCAGGGACAGACACAAGTACACCTGAGTGGGACGGGTGCCAACCAGTGTGTGTCCTGCAACAAGGAGAGTCACTAAAGAGGGAAAAGTCCCGTCCCGTGGTTCCTGGGGAAGTTACCTGGTCAAGCAAGACCAGCGACAGTCCTGGTGACACAGAGAGAAATCAGAGCAGCCAGGGCCCCTCAAGGCTCCGAAAGAACCCTGAGGAGCTTGGCCTGACCTTGAAACGCAGAGAGATGGGTATTAAGTTTTGGTTAACCTAAGTCTTACTTTGACCAGCAGGAAAATACCACAAAAAAGTAGTGATTAACAGTGATGACCGGGGATTTAGCTCAGTTGTTCTGCCGCCTGGCTTGCAAGGGGAAGAATCCGAGTTTGATCGGTACCAAAAAAAAACAAAAAACAAAAAGAAACAAACAGTGACATAAAAACAGAGGCAGGTTGGCTCTGCAGAGGACTCCCGCTGTTGGGGGGCGGGGTCAGGCTGGTAACATATTTGCCTACAGCCCAGAGGGGTCCTGGGGTCCTGATTCCTCCCCAGCTCTTCTCTTACACAGCTGCCCTTCACCCTGGGTGTTACTTTAATGTACTTCTGAGTCCTCAGGTACAGATTTGGCCTTTTGTGTGCCCATAGGATACAAATAGAAATGTTAATGGCCCTCGGGGCCGGGGATTTAGTTCAGTAGTTTTGCTGCCTGCTGCTCAAGCGCAAGGACCAGAGTTCGATCCCGGTACCAAAAAAAAAAAATGTGAATGGCCTAATGGCCACAAAAATGTAGATATCTTTAGTGTATTCCTTGGCTATTGGTATAATTAAAAGAGGAGGCCATTGGATTTCTTAAGGAGGAGTCTGCATCTCTTAAACTCTACTGTTGTACTTCATCTCATTTAACAACTCTGGATAGGCAGAGGTTAATATTAAAAGTCTTATTAGGGGGGCCGGGGATTTAGCTCAGTGGTTCAGGTGCTTGCCTCAAAAGTGCAAGGTCCTGAGTTCAATCCCCGGTACCAAAAAAAAAAAAATTCTTATTATGCCAATCCCACCTAATATTGTCTGAGTTCTACAACTTCGTGGAGCTACTATTCACCAAAATTCTACTTGTAATTTTGGGGCCCTGTTTAACGTAGTTATAAAATGAAGCTTAAGAGCTAGGTGTGGTGGAGCACATCTGTGATCCCAAGCACTCGGGAGGCTGAGGCAGGAGGATTGCTTGAGTTCAAGGGCAGCCTGAGCTACATAGTGAGACCCAGTCTCAAAAGAAAAAAAAGAGGCTTAAGTGTCAGTGACTTCTAATGTCCTCTCCTCTTTTCCAGACTATCAAAGGATGATGGTTCCTCGAACAATAAAACCTGTCTTCCTATGTGGCCTTAGTCAGTGAGACCTTCAATCCCTGGCTGGGAAGGGTCAGTGTCCCCGGCCTGAAGCTGCCCTGAGGAAGATGGACCTTCGGCCACTCTGCAACCCTGAAGAGCAAAGATCACAGTCAGTGTGGGGCAGGAGGGGGTGAGGCAGGAGGCAGGAGAGGAAATGAGTAGAAAGGAGGCAAGAAGGGCCGGGGATTTAGCTCAGTGATTCCGCCGCCTGCCTCACAAGCACAAGGTCCCGAGTTCAATCCCTGGTACCAAAAAAAAAAAAAAAGAAAGGAGGCAAGGAGAGCTGAGGTTTCCATAGCACTGGGATGCAGAGCTGCCCAAGGTTATGCGCACCTGCACTTCTGGGCCCCGTTTGTGCTCCCAAGGCTTGAGTTTTCTTTCAGGCTCATCACACCCAAAATGCCACGAAGATTCTGTAAGTCTGCAAATGAGCTCAGTTGTTGAGGTAAAGGGGAGGAACCTGATTTTAAAAAATGGATTCAGCCAGGCTTGGTGGCACTCCCCTGTAATCTCAGCATTTGGGAGGCTGAGGCAGGAGGATTGCTGCAAATTTGAGGCCAGCCTGGGCTATATGATGAGTTCAAAGCCAGCTGAACAACAAAGCAAGCCACTGTCTCAAAAAAACAAAAACAGGGCCGGGGATTTAGCTCAGTGGTGCTGCCGCATGCCTTGCAAGAACAAGGTCCCAAGTTCAATCCCCAGTACCCAAAAAAAAAAGAGAGAAAGAAAGAAAGAAAGAAAGAAAAAAAACCATACATGGCCTTTCCCTTTCTAGTGTACATTGGCCCAAACTTTCACAGGTCACATGAGCCATTCTGTAAACCAAGTCAAAACTTTCTATAGATTCGCAAGTTCCACGGATTTCCAGCCCCCAACACATATAAATATTTCCAGCTCCAGACCATAATGCACTTCTCTCTTGAGGGTCCCTTACTTTACTTTCTTTGAGTGTGTATTTACAATTCTGCTTAAAAAACCTCTATGCCGCTCAAAAACAGAAAGAAAGCCAGTATATCCCTGTAATTCCAGCACTTTCGAGGCTGAGGCAGGAGGATCACCACAAGTTCGAGGCCAGCCTGGGCTACAGAGTGAGGACCTGTCTCAAAAAACCAAGGGAGAGGGCTGGGGATTCAGCTCAGCGGTTCTGCTGCTGCCTCGAAAGTGCAAGGACCAGAGTTCGATCCCTGGTACCAAAACAAAACAACAGTGATGACAGAGAGAGAGAGAGAGAGAGAGAGGGAGAGAGAGGGAGAGAGAGGGAGAGAGGGAGAGGAAGGAGGAGGAAGGAAGGCTGGGAGGTGGAGAGAAAGTCTAGAGGTGCAGATGTAGCTGGAACCCCGGCCGTGGAAATAGGGAGAGCTGTCGAGGGCTTAGGCAAAAGAAGCTGGCTAGGGCAGCCTCTGGAGCCCCGTGAGACACAAGGACTTTCTATTTTATATTTCCTTTTTCTTTTCTTCTCCTCCTTTTTTCGCACTGGGACAGAACCCAGGGCCTCACATATCCTAGGTAAGTGCTCTGCCCCTGAGCTACATCCCCGGCTCTTTCTATTTCACTTCTCAGACAGGCTCTTACTAAATTGACCTTGAATTTGCAGTCATTCTGTCTCAGTCTCCAAGTATCTGGGATTACAGATTTGTGCTAGCATGTCTCTCTCCATATTTTATTTTATTTATTTGGTGTTTTGAGACAGGGTCTCACTATACAGTTCAGGCTGGCCTTGAACTCACTATGTAGCCTAGGCTGGCCTTGAACTGGTGGCGATCGTGCACCACCATGCCTGGCAGTCTCTCCATATTTTAGCTTTCATTTTATATATTGGCTACTGTGCTGCTAAGGGACACTACCCCATCTCTAAGTGCCTTCTTCGTGCGTTGTCTCACTTCCTCTCATGACTGCAGTCCACTGCACAATAGTCCTGGTGATGTGCTCTTTCTCCAGGAAGGAAATGAGCCAGGTGCAGCTCAGACCGAGGTGAGGTCTCCGGGTTCAATTTCCAGTTCTGCCATAAAGGGGGGGGACACTGCTGGGTCCCCCTGGTTCTCCCTCTGTGATTAAGGCCACCCTAGCCACAGTGACAGATGCCAAGGGGACAGGAGCTAATGTCCGTGTGGCCTGGGAGGCAGCTCTCCTACACCTAGTGAGCAGGGCCTTGGCCAATGCCTGCTTCTTGGTCCTGTCTTTAGCTCAGGCTCCAGGATGGCCTGGTCCCACTGTGCGGCAGGGGATGTTCGTGGGAGGCTGTGGGAGGCAGGCTTTACGGGAAGACAGGGAACTAGTATGGGTTATTTCCCTGTGCATCCCATCGGCTGTATCTCAGC